GAGCTGGCTTTTCCGTTTTCCTCCACACTTCTTAGCTGCTATCTATTGACGCCTAAAAGACAAACCAGAGGCTTTCGTGGTATAGGGCGATTTTTATAAGAATGGGACGTTTTGACAGCTAGTGCTGGCAACACAATTGAAGGTTCTGTGGTCGTTGTGTCCTTGAACCTAATAGACTCTCCATCCTCCATTCCTTCGTTTGCAGTTGGCTAACTTGTAAATGGCTTCTTTTTGTGATGCCCTCGTCCTACGAAAATATAGTGCGCCACGGGAAATAATTGAAATTTGTAACTGCAGAGCTATGTGCTCTTCTGTAAAAATCCTTTTCTTATAATCATTACATTGAATTTAGTTTTTATGTGATAAGTGTTATGTTTGTTCTAAAATCAAGTTTTGAATGTGAGATGCGTACTTGTGACGATGCACGTTTTTGCGGCTTCTGCGTTGTAAGGTGGCGACATGTGTTCGCGAACGTTTGCTTTTTATATTTATTTTTTATAGAATTGTGACACGATTGAGAAAATTAAGTGAAACTCTGACTTTTGCCCAGTGATGTCTGCGCGAGCCGTTAACACACTACCAAGGGATTTGGCTGAACTGCTGCCGCGGCGGAGGGATACTTCTCTGAATTACATGTGATATTCACTTGTTTAGCGAACTGTCACTTCGTCCCGTTCTTACAAAAATCGCTCTATAACTACCGTTATTGCCACTCATCTCGAAATATTCACAGTGAAGAGCACCGTCGCATTCTCCGAACATTGCATAGACCCCTTCTGTACCTTTACATATGCTAATACTTGGCGCCACGCCGGTGCTTGTACCATTGATAATGGTGAAGTACATACTTCCTCAATTGCATCTGTAGATTGCTCACACAGTAGCCAGTTAGACCAAGATATTACTGAAGTATTAGGGTACACTTGGTAGGGCAGGGGCGACCAGAAAGCGGGAGCGGCAGCTAGGGAACCTTGCCCCAGGCCCCGACTTAATTGGAGCCCCTAATTTCTCTTCGCTAAAAAGAAACAAATAATGTATTTATTTCTAATCCAAATTTAACGCTATAAGTTATTTCTGATGCACGGAGAAATGAATACTGTTTTTGAATTTGGGGAGGAGCTATTTTTTTTAATAAGGGTCAACTGCTCCAGGAACCTGGTTTTCTCTTAGCGCCCCTGCAGAAGAATTTAGGAATGCCCTACAGGCCAGGACCACAACTTATAATATTCATATCTTAAGCGGGTTTCGATCCCACGATCTCAGTGTCCAATTACTTTGGTCACCTGCACAAGCCAGGATCTCACGAGTGCGAATCACATGACCGTATTAATTGTCAACGTATTACATATTGTAACATAATTCGATTAAACCAATAATAAAACTAAAACTGATCTTTTTATGCATTATCGGCCGCTAGTGTGTTTCCTAACATTAAACATATCAATACTTTGAATAGTGATACCATTTGTTTCCATATCAACAATGCGAAATTACTTTAGCATCAAAATATTTCAACATTTCCTTCATTAATGAAAAATATTCTCAAAATTAACAAACAACGAAAATGTTTAGATTCTAAAGACATCTTCTACTTTTTCCCTGCAACTTGATGAATCAACTGATATAGTTTATACAGCTCAGTTGGCCATTTTTATAAGAACAATTTTTGATGATTTCGAAGTAAAAGAAGAGCTGGTAAAAGTTGTACCACTTCAAGGACATACTACGGGACATGACGTATATTCAGGTTTTAAAAACCTCATGGATTCTAAAAATATTCCTATGCAAAAATTGGTGAGCTTGGCAACATGGAGCTCTTGCGATGGCAGGTAGCGATAGGGGATTCATTGCCTTGTGTCGTGAAGGCAAGAGGTTTCCAAAATTTCTATCTTACCATTGCATAGTACACCAGCAATCAGCTGTAAGCTGTAAGTTCACGACACCTGGTTTAGAGCACAATATTCACAGGCACTTATTGGTTAGCACAATGGTTTAGTTAACTTTCAAATACTATTGACACCGAATGATTGGGTTTTATCAAAAAACACATTCACGGAACTGCAGAAGAGAATCATAAGAATATAAAACCGGGTTCTATTTGAAATTTTCATAGAAAGAGTTGGAGCTGTTTTGCGAAAATGCCGTTTGATTGTTTCTGCAAACACACATTTTTGAGCTTATTTTCACAGAAAACTTTTGAGCACAGTTCATAATAAATCATTTGAAGACCTTGCACTCCCGATGCAATAAAGTATAAAAATGTCTGAAATGTAGATATTAATGACGTGGGAGATACTTCAAAAATTACTTCTAAGTAATTATTGAAAAATCAAAGTTTACTTCAGAATTCCGTTCACGACATGTTTTTCGGATCATTTAGCTCTGTTCGTACAAAAAGTTTAAAGTAAAAAATTGGGCCCATAATGAAAAATTGTTTATAAAATAAAACATATTTCACTCAGAAACACGCGAAAAGTACTAATATTAAAAAAATATAAGACATTAATTAACCAACTAATTGTGAATTACAAATTTCCTTCGAGGAAAAAATTTCAAACTTAAAAAATGTAGATGTACAAGGGGGTCTAAAAAATTCAATTTTGTGCAATTTTCGAAAGTTCATGTGTAACCGTAAAAATCGGATCCAAGCCTTATTTATCAATGTACTCCACTCTTCTTTCAAGAAATTCAAAAAAGTAGAACCAAATTTGAGAAAATCGCGCTCCAGAAGTTTCATGTGAAGCATCCGCAAAATTCTCAGAATTCCAGGAAGCTCCAGGAAGTATCAGGAGAAAACGTTTATTTCCGTGAAAATATCAATATCGATTCTTCTCTCCAAACATTGCTCTAATGTCTAAATGAGGGTCATCTGCGAGACAAAAGAAAGATGATGCCGATAATAAAGGAACAAAGGGCATTGGATCTATCTGATACTTCAAACAACGAATGGGCGGAGCGCGTCATTGAAATACTGAGGCAATTTCGATCCAGATATGGGTAAAGAAGAAACTGCTGCAATTTAATAAAGGAAGTTTCAAGAACATTACATTTTTTTAACAGGGAAAATGTAATTCTGTCATTGTGGGTTGCTCGTATGTGCCGTCTTTCAGCCTTAGTCCAATGTCATTTTTGCCATTACACGAGAAAGAATCACAAATGTAGAGACAGTCTAACTTCCATTTACTAACGTATCTTTTGTTATTCAAGGATTGTGTGATTTCTTTACGCCTTCAAATTTGTGTAATTTTATCCAAGTACTTGGGCATTTGTAAAAAATTCCGCACTTTGTATATCTTTGATTTAAACATGAAAATATCTTCATTCTGTACAACTTCGAACGACCAAGTCCTGAACTTCGTATTATTTTATATCCCAGGTTCTGAGCATGAGTAAACCTAATATTCCTAAGTATTTATCAAGAAACGCAAATGCCCGTGTAATTAAATTGCGTAGAATATTAAATAGGTACTCATTTTCACTTAAGGAGATTTTGAGATTGCAAGTTTTTTTACTATCCTTGCTATGGAGTGGGAATATCCGCAAAAAGTAAAACCTCCAAATATGTACGAAGTCCAAACATGTTTCAATTTGTGGATTCCACCATGAACACAGTATATTGTACAAAACCCTGGTTTTAAGGGCCTGACACGCTCCACTTTTGAGTTATGAACGCTCGCGTAATACGCGTTGCAACGTCACGTGTGTAGTATATTACAGATTGGCTTATTGATTTTTGCATAGCGTATTCTTCATTGTTCGTCTTCAATTGTTTGATGCTCTCCCCAGAGGCTAATTCCCTTCGTAGTAGCAGAAACATATTTACGGATTTTGTGTCAACGGCATTCTGTAATTCGCACAAAATTGTCATATTTCCTTAGCGTATTATACAAACGATTAATCTTAAAACAAATGAATAGCGACAGAAATTAGCACATATAGTTTTGGAATCTATTTTAATAGAACAACACCGTGCCCTAGTCAATGGCTTTGAACAACAGGCTTCTGTTTTCAACGTAACAATGCAACATATTTGTTGCATCCCGATGAGCACCATTGCACGATGATCGGAAAATTAGAAACATTGCCTAAATCGGGCCGTCTTCACGACAGTCATAGAGACAGCTTTCAGCTACATTGATCGTTTAGGCAATAAGTAATAGTACATATATACTTTTGTTGTGTGGTCTTATCCCATATCGTAACTCATTGACTCTAACATTGCCAGATCGATGAATGCAAGCAATTAAGGAGTGGTAGACAGGAAGTTAGTTAGTCTCTTAGTTGAAATGAGAATGGGGAGTTTCATTTAATTAAAAAGTATTTTTGTATAAAATAAGCAAAAAGGTAATTTGCATAAAATAAGAAAAACAAGTTCTTTGGACTACAATGCGTCGTAAATTTTGCTTTGGCCCGGCTCAAGGATATTTTATGTCAAAAGTTTAGCATGAAGGCCGGAGCCTCGACATCAACCAGGACACGCGTAGCAAAGCCTCAAAATGCCGTAGGAGATTGAGGTTATAAATACGACCCCATTCCGCTCATGGGCCCGTTTTGTCGTTGCCATGTTCTCGCGGAATTGAGCAGATTTCCTCGCGTTCTTTATTATAATGGAGGACACCCCTTGCTGCATTCATGTCTTTAATATTTTAAACAAATGAGCGTTGTTCTAGAACATCGGTTTTCATCTGATTCACCCTGCTTTTTGTTATTGTTTTATTTGTTTTTTGTTTTCCTTTTGATGACATGTACATCACTTTACATTTAACTCATCATATGTTTGTAGATTTATTAACTAAAACTAAAATTGAACTTCCAATTAGCATAGCGGCTGAGGAAACCATTTGATTGCCTCTAATTGGGGTCCATTTGGGAACATTTCTTTAAGAATATGTAAAAAGAAAGCCTTTTTTTTATTCCAGAGTTTCAGATTGGGTTTCTGGCTAGGTTGAATCCGGTTAAATTTTGCATCTGCATCAGGGTAGAGTGGAACTGGGACTCACCCGCGCTTCCTTTCTGCCTCCTGCAGCCTGCACTCCAAGGACGACGTGCGCGCGCTCTTCATGCTGGTGCAGAGCCCCGTCTTCGCCGCGCAGTCCTCCTACACCATCCTAGCGCACCTCCTGCGGCAGGTGGTGAGCTTGGCGCCGGCCGACCACCAGCTGCTCGTCGGCTGGTTCAAGATGTAAGTCGCCGCGCTGCGCTGCGCTGCGCTGGTGTCTCCGACGCCAGCGCCCTCCTTGTGGCGACGCCGGCGCGAATAACAGTTGAAAAGCGTTTGGCGACTACTGGGTCGTAAAGGGAGGGAAGTGGCCCCGAGCTGCAGTTTTTAATTGTTTATGCACCCCCCCCTACCTGGCCCCGCCGCTGAAAGGTTTTTGTATTAATTATTCTTACATTCATTTATTAGTCATTTTGTTTTTAGGAGCCATTTAGGGTGAAAACCACTATAACTATTTTAGGCGGCTAGCTCCATATGAATTATTGTTGACTCCAGTCTAAAATATGTTTAGATTTCTCGCCGATAAAATATTAACCCTTCATGTTTAAACGAATATAATAGTTTACAACGAAATCGTATTAGGAAACGTATTTATATAAGTATGTAGTTGTATAACAATCATTTCTCTCAGCATTACCTTTGCATCTCTAAACAGAGTTACTGTTTTTATGCTTAAGATGAAGAAAGATTAAAATGTAGTCACATAAATATTTTCGTTTTTATGATTCAACCCATAAAACATTGAACTTAGTTCATTTGATGATTTAACAATTGTTAAATCGCAATGAGAGATGACTAAAGTGAAATAATCTGCATTAAAATATCGATGAATTCCACAAAATTTGGTTTTAATGGAGAATAATTTATTTAGTTGTCGCATTTACTAAAACTCCTAGATACCGAAGTTCCACACACATTTTCCATATTTTCTTATGTATTCTGCGCATATATTAAAAAATAAACAATTCTCTTCATCGAACAATTATTTCATGATCAAAATTTTGGCTGCCGATTCACACTGTAAGTCAATTTAAAAAATTTCTGAATTCGTCGAATTGGGTATGCTTACGTCAGTGCCAAAACGGTCAACTCTGCAAAACAGTTGACACAGCAGCGTGCTCGCTCGTGAGTTAGCTCCACCTTTCGTCGCAAGCGGTAGGCCAGGCATGGGAAGGTCACGGCCAAGGTAACTAGCTTACTTGAGTTCGTGGGTACTGCGTTTAGAGCAACTGGCGCGAGATTTATAAGTAATGTTTGTGCAAATTGTTCGGAATGGGTGGTACATCACTGAATACCTGACCCATGACAATCTTTTGGGGAAGTCAATTGACAACTACTGCCCTAAATGTAGCTATATGAATTTTAATTTCCTCCAATAGCGTAAAGAAATTATCCATTAAAGAGTGATAATACATGCCATATTGAGAGTAAAATTGAATATTTTGAATCGAAAGTATCTTGATTTTGTAATCGTGTTTATTTAAGAGTGCAATAATTCCAGCAACTTCCTACGTACGAGTTGGTTTAACATACAAAGATTGTTAAAAGAGCTGTACGCCCCTAAGCAAGAACTGATAATTACTTTAAATTTCTTCCCTTTGGAAAAAATGGGCCTATCCCTCAGCAAAAATGTACTCCACGTATGTTAGACCACGTGGAATTTAAAAAGAAAATTGTCATGAAATAGTAATAAATAGTAAAATGTTCATCACAATCCAAAGTTTGTTTGATAGAACAAATCAAGCAACCATATTTTCGTCTTAAGCCACTAATCCCCGCCTCGCACCGCTGTCGCGTACTCACCCCTTCCCGGGTTTGGAGGAGAAACGAGAGCGGAGTCAGGGGAAGTGGCCTGTGCTCCAGGAGCGCTTGGCTTCCCAGACGGGCAAGTAGCACTTATGGGCGCGGTAGAGTAGGCCTTCAGACTGCTGTCAAATGCGGGTCCAGCGAGGGGCAGGCGGGAGTACAGCAGATAAGCCCCTGAGACAACTCCCGCCCAGTTCCACTTAGAAATAACTAATTGTTATTGTGAAATAAAATTACGCCGGAAATGTTTGTTCTACACCTCATAAATTATTCTCATGACTGTCATAATTATTTTGAATAAAAACACTTTGCAGAAAGTGTCGTCTTATATGATTCATGCATTAATTGTGCGCAGTAGCTTAGAAAATACGAAAACCATTCAGGTTATGTTTCGTATGAAATGCACTGTACTTTGTAATTTAAATTGCACCCGAGAATGATATTTATGTTATTTCCGAACAACTATTGTTGTTTAAGGATAGTATCAATAAAATACCATTAAATTCAATAAATATTATTCTAATTTATTCAAGGTTCATATTTTAAAATACAATGTTGATTGATGAGATTTTATTTCAAAATCTTTTGTAATATTTATATATTAAAATAATATTGAAATTATATAACTACTATGCATGGTAGTGAAGAAAGAAACAAATTTTCAATGAGAAATCACAAAGTAAATTAATATTTCAAACAAAATAGAATTTCACGGCGAAAAAAGCATTGTGCGACCTTTTAGCCTCCGACCGAATATTATCTGAACATGAGGAAACAACCTCCACTACGCTAGCCTCAGTGCCCGCACCCTTACCGCTCTGCTAGCAAGAGCTGTCCAGTTTCTCTGTAGAAATGAAAAGCTATAAGAAAATGTTACCAATTTTGGAAAATTTTTAAAATAATTTGTATTGGCAGCAACAATTTTGATAATTTAAACACATGTAAGTTGTGAAAGAAAATTAGAGCAGTTTTCGACATAACACGTCGTAGCATTCTTTTGTCAGTTTCGCACAATTTGACTTTAGATAACCAAAGTGGATTCATAGTTTAATAACGGAAGACTGATTTCACCTTCTTTAAAAATATATTTTCCATCGAGCGAGATTCCGAGTAATAAACGTGCAACAGCAGCGAAATTTGACAGGTTCTCAGAAAGACGAAAGGCCTCTAGGGAAGAAAGTAGTAGACATTTTGGTAAACACAAAGGAAGAATAATGACAATGAATGAGCGAAATCACCCCTCTGCAGTGTAGTATTACTTACATAACTTCAATCTTTACAACTGGAAAATAATATTGCTACGCCTACAGTCTGTGATCTAAAGGGTTTGCTTTTTTCTTCATGACTGGACAGGAAACGTATCTTCTCTGTTTGGCTTTCCCGATCGACATTCGCACATTCCAACCAAAAAAATACAACCAAATTACCATTCTTCTGGAAATTTTCCATCAATTCGGAAGTGCATCCATTCTCCAATTTAAATAGAGTGACTTCGGCAGATCATCAGCTGCATCACGGTTAACCAACCGGGAGCTTCAGTACCAAATATGTTCGTCGCCACGAAGCTCCCTGTGGAATAACCGCGTCCAGCTAATGATCTGTCAGAAGTCACTATTTAAATCGAACAACAAGAAGAATATGTTAATTGTTGTGTGTTTCTCGTGCGCAGTCTGGAGGTGGAGAAGCTGCGCATGATGGTACGACACCTCATCCAGTTCGTGACGATTCGGCAGTTTCCGCCGGCCGACAAGTCGTTGCCGCCGCTCAGCAAGAGTCGCTGGTGGATCCCAACGGCGACCAAGGCGCTGGCCCTCATTAGTGAGTAGCCCAAGTTCACGAGGCAGGGAATAGTAATTAACGTCATGAGGAAGAAAAATGTACACGTAGGCTTTCGCGGCTCGAGTTCATAACCCATTCGCGTCATGTCGCAGGCTTCCTCAGGGCAGTGCCGTCACTACCTGTGGGAAGCCTGCGACATGACACGCGAAACGTCGGCCTCTCAGCCAACGACGCGGCGTCACCGGGACAGCCCAGAAGTCAAGAAAAATGTTGCATTGCAAGTGCGATGTTTTCAGCCGAGACAGAATTAGGAGCTCTTAACGTCGTCTCGGAAGGAATTTCTCACGAGTAATGTAATATTTCCGCCCAGGTATAGTAACACGTTTTGTTTCATATCATGTCGTATTTCATTACTTCCATTTTAATTCCATATTGCAATATTCCATGATCCACGAGTACCAACAAATAATTGTCCACGGCGCCAGAGCCCCCTGGAATCTTGATATTACTTCCTTGTATACGTACGTATATATTCAGATGACAGAAAATATAAGAAACAATTGTACATTTTCTGCCAGACACAAAAACATCAAATCCTTTTACCAAATAAATCTTCACTTCTCTAAACCGTGCACACAACCTAAAATAACCTTCCTCTAACCTTCTTGGCCTGAAATAACGTATATATTTGTGTGTGCACATACCATAACACTTTCTATAAAATAATTGACATCAAAATAATTGCTCGCACTCGTTTCCATACTTGAAAAACTAATTTGTTAATGAATTTTCTTTGAAAAGTAGTGCGTAATCATAAATTTAATAATTAAGCAAAATTATCTCATTTAACATTTTCACTCTGATGTTCTGATGCTTCGTTTTAAACGTGTATTTCCTTAATCTTAAATTACTGTAGTAAGAATACTGTAGGTATTAATTTAAATTTTAGATTCTTAAAACATTTAATGCATGGAGCAACTCTATTCATTTCTCACGATTTAATGTGCTCCTATATTACAATTTGAAATATTTCAACCCTTATGTGTAATTCGCAGCTCAGTTATCATAGTAATACAAAGAATGACTGATGGTTCTGCCAACTTTTATTCCAATGGTTGACATAGACACACAACCTCCTTCAGTATTTAGCCTAACTTCCTCCCCTCTCGCGAATTCTGCGTTGGTTTCTCAGCTGCAGTGGCATTCTGTTCAATTTAATGGAAAAGTTCAAAGTTCTTGCTTTGAGATATTAAGTTATGAACAGAGATACTCGCCGTGATGTTCACCTGTTCTAAAGTTGCTGCGTTCGGTTCGCCCTGCCTTAGACATTCACGTTCGTTCTCCTCGACTGTCGTCGGACAACGCGTGTCCCGACTGTCAAAGACGGCAAATTCATTTTTTATATTTTCGACCGTTTGAACAGCTTTTAGAAACATTTTTATTCGGACAGTTGCCAAACCTGAACAATCGACCTCACTTCTTTATTGAACGTCTCCTTCAACGGACTGCGAGAAAAATCAAGTTTTCTGGCTTAAAATATTGTATGCGAAGTGCCTTTTGTTTCTAGCATATCTTTGGCAAGTTATTTTAGAGATATTTTAGAGGTATTAAATCAATATTGACGTCATAAAGTGTTTCCTCTTCTCTCTGTTTGCTTGAAACAACTTCATGAGTCTCTCTTCCCTCGGAAGACCAGTCGCAACCAGATCGAAACGAAGCGTGACGCTTTGCAATCAGGAAACAAACTTAAAACAATGAAAGTCGCATGAAGTTTAGTAATCGGTCGATGGCCGTCACTTTCAGCTTCAAACGGCTGTCGCTTGCGTTTGTAGTATGTATGCTTAGGGAGTTGGATCTGTACTCGTAGAACCCACAAGTTCAGCGTGACCCGATAAATGCTGAGAGCAAAGAGAAGGTCAACTCATACCATACTTGTAGGTCACTATATGATCAATATTTAGGCAATAAATATACGTAGTGGAGTTTTCCTTGGTGAAAAATCAGTTTTGTAGCCATTTACAGAAACGGCGACATTTATTAGTGTTGAAAGCTACCTTAATTATTCCCCATAATGCGTAGTGTTTAGTACTACAAAAATTTCGTATTTCCAGATTTGATTATATTGTGATGTAAGGCGAAGGTTGCTATTAAATTTTCATTATTCGATAACCCTTGTTTATATATTGTCCATGGTATCCGATTTTCCGCAGCTTTTTTCTTAATGAAATGGATGTATGGAATTATAGAAATAAAAGTATAATTAATATGACATCTCATACATTTTGACGACTTCATTTCTGAACTGCAATTACTCAAACTTAATTTACGTTTAAAATTATTTAACAGGAATCTAAAATTAATTTACTTTCACCAAACCAAAATATAAAATGTACCAGACGAATTGTATTATCTTGATTTGAAGTTAGTAAAAAATTGAACGAATTTAAATTTTAAATGTCACTTTTTTTATGTAATGAGCATCACACTATTTTTTTTATATTACGCACACACTTCGCATTTCTTCATGTAACGTCCTCATAGATACATCACCGTGAATGCTGAATTCATTCCATTGCGTAGATGCCGCCAATAACTCGAGCAACCCTCCTCTTCTGGACTACGCGGAGTTCTACAATTCGTCGCTGGACCACATGGACCTCATGCAAGACTACTTCAACTGGCAGAGCCCACAGCGCCCGGGGCAGTTCTCCTACTGCCAGTATCCCTTTATCCTCAGCATCGTCGCAAAGCGGATTATCCTCACTAAGGTACACCTTGCTCAGTGGCAAAGCATGATGTTATTTGTCGTAAGTTGATACTATTCAAACTATTGTAAGGTTATCTTAACCATGATGAATATGGGGATATGTGGCGTTGTTTCCCTCCTGCAATATAGTGCCCCAGGAGATATAATTGAAATAATAATAATAATAATAATAATAATAATAATAATAATAATAATAATAATAATAATAATATAAAAAATTACTAAGGGGAGAGCCGGCTTGCTTGCAAACTGTACGAATAGTTGCTTCGTTCTGCCAGTAGGACATCAAGAAATTTGCTTGGGGGTAGGCTATAGGTTTACTTTCGAACTTTCGTTGGTAAATAATCTTTCATTTATGTTGAATTTAATTTTTTATGCTTAGAAAAAAATGGTTCTGAAGAAAACAACACATGATGGTTTTCCAAAATGTAGCATTGATACTGCTCAAGAACAACAAGTAAAATACTTTCTTATAACGTAAATGTAGCTTCACTATGCGCACGTTTTGTTGAATTCTTCTTTTGCTTGTAATGGTAAGAGTAGAGGTAAGGGTGAGTTGCTATTTTGTTAGCAATGAAGAAAAATCATACTTGCAATTCGTGTACCAATGCAAATAAGTTTTCTATAACTCAGAAACGTAAAATGACTATTTTTCAAATATTGCTAATCTTGCTATTTTTAAAATTTATTTTTATTTAGTTATGTTAAACTTTAACTCATTTTTCAACTATTTATAGTTAAAATGACGGGAAGGGATTCTGGAACTCAAGAAAACGTGCACAGATAATCTTTTCCCCCTATGCCACATACAGTTTTTACTGTTATTTGTTTTTTTTTTACTGAATAAATCTAACACTGCATTCAACAACTTTTTAATAAAAACAGTCTTCACAAATTCCACAATAACGCAGGGTATTATACACACAGTTCAACACTTCTTTACGTACCAAGAACAATAACAAAGTTTCTGATCCGTAACGTAACAAACACATGAATAGCAAATATTTAATGTTGGGAGCGATATCTTCTCTGAAGCTTCTGCTGTAGCATGAAATTATCTGTGTTATGAGCAGTGACGCACTAAATATGAGAATTCTATAGGTACGTGCAGTTTGAGAATGGGCGGAATTACACAATCTAATATTTGCATTTTTCTGTCAAAATAGAAACAGTTTAATTGATTTTGAATTTTTAAAGAATAGTATCAAACGAAAATATTGACCTCTCACATTACCGGATGCTGCATAGTTTTGTTTCAGTTTCCGCATGCATTTAAAATTATTAATACTGAGTTTTTAATTTATATTTATAAGGAAGAAGAGACTGAATTTGGTATTATATGACTATTCCCAATACATACACTAATTTGTAACACTGAGCTCAAACAGTAGATTTAATAAGCGTAAAATAGTAGTTTATGCAATTAGTTTATAATGTTAAGCTTTATTGCGTGAGTACATGTTTTGAAAACGAGCGACTTTAGGCGCGAGTTTTCAAATTTATACGATTGTAATAAAGCAACATTATAAACGGGTTCCATTTAGCTCTACCTCCCCATGATTCTCTCGCTACGATTGGCTGGATGTGTGATGACGCAATCATTCGTAACATAAAATCTAATACGTCATCATTTGTGCCGTAAAATGCCCGTTTATCAACGATTTCTTGCAACAGAAAAGGTTCTTTTAAAATGCAGGAATACCAAAGAATATATTTCGCGTTTTTGCAACAATAAATTATGTTCCCTGGTCATTGAGACTAACACGCGAGTGTGGCCACTGTCTGTAGGACTCCGAGCAACAGATGATCCTTACCGCACGGCGGTCGCTGGTGGCGAAAGTGGCGCGGCACCAGGCGCCGCAAATCGACATCTTCTTCCTCAACATCCACGTCCGCCGCTCCCATCTCGTGTCGGACTCGCTCAACGAGGTGAGTGAAGCTGGGCTTACATATTATAAGTATGCTGGGTGCAGGGGAGCCCAGAGAAAACCATAGCCCTGGGACAGTTGGTCCTCGGGGACTCCTTATTTCAAACCAAAAAAATTCTCCCCGCCCAATTCATAAACAGAATTCATTTCTCCATTTATCGGACATAAATTATGTGTGTGTGTGTGTATATATATATATATATATATATATATATATATATATATTTGTGTGTATATATATATATATATATATATATATATATATAATATTCCTTTCTTGTGAATGAAAAAAAATCGAGCCCACAATTAAGTCGGGGTCTCAGGCAAGTTGACCCCCTTCTGGATGCCCATGGTTGATGTGTGTATGTACGTGTGGGAGGCGCTAGTGTGTATGTACATTTTGTAACAGTATCATTCTATGACAATTCCCTTGCAATAACACGTAACAAATATTAATACATATTAACATTGGAAATATTCGCAAATACATCGTGTTCTCTCTTGATTTCCCTTAGATTGCCAACAAGCAAAAGGATCTGAAGAAGAAATTAAAGGTGTCTTTTGTGGGTGAACCCGGTCTCGATATGGGAGGTCTCACCAAGGAGTGGTTTCTTCTGCTCATACGGCAAATCTTCCATCCTGATTATGGAATGTTCGTGTACCATCCACACTCTCGCTGCTACTGGTTCAGCACTGACCAGGACGGAAACCTGCGCGAGTACAACCTCATCGGCGTGCTCATGGGTCTTGCGGTCTACAACTCCATTATACTCGACCTACATTTCCCTTCTATCTGCTATCGGAAGCTTCTGTCGCCACCAGTGGTACCTGCAGTTGACACAGCAGGTGTTGGAGTGGTCAAAACTCTCACTCTGGATGACCTATCAGAAATAATGCCGGTAAGAGACTCTGAACATGTACTCGAAATGTAATGTATAAATCCTTTACACTTCAGTTATTTTAGATCATTATATTTAAAAAATGTTATATCTTCATTTTTCTTCAATACTTTCTGACACAAACACAATACATTTACATAAATACAGTATTTCAACTTAAGAGACAAAATGGTCTTCTCAGTTTCCAAAAAATGACATATTTGAAAAGAGATTTTACAATGAATTCCTCGCACACAATTGATCAGTCATCACTAGGGGAGCGGATTTTAATGAAATGTCATTTTTCCCTTTTCCCTTTAGAACAATGTCGTTGAGTATAGAAATTCATTTTATATTATGACTTAAAGGAAATGCCCCTTTTTTATGTCATTTTGTTGCATATTTTGTGGATTTCGACTAGCAAGTCTTTTTTACCCTTTCCCGTCATTTTTATTGCAATTTTGCTGATTTTAATATAATGTTAGTGGTAATCGCTTCAAATAGTATTTACAAATTACTTCTAGGCTGTCCGGGTGACGCCGCATCGTTGGCAGATAGGCCGACGTTTCGCCTGTCATGTTATATGACATATAACACCGGAGGCGGAGCTTTACTATGTCAGTACCCTGAAGAAGCCTGCGACATGACAGGCGAAACGTCGGCCTATCTGCCAACGACGCGGCGTCACCCGGACAGCCTAGAAGTAATGGACTCGAGCCGCGGAAGCCTACGTGTACAAGTATTTACAAATGTTCTCCACAGAATTCCTGAGTAGCTACTTCAATTTCTTTTCTCAGGAATTGTAATATCACCCGTTTTATGTAATCTAAGATTCCTATAACGTCTATCAGCGCCGTTGTCGGTTCGGACGATTTGGGGATATCTAAAGAAAAAGATTTCCAGGTAAAGGACAGTCCAAACGAAAAGTTTGCCAGATAAGTGCACCTGAACGAAAAGAAGCAGCCTCGGTTACATCAGTAACATATCCAGCTTGCGTTGTTCATCTGAAGTGGTTTTGATCACATTTTTTAGGCCATTTTTCTCTCCTTTTGGGGAATTTTAAAAACATTTTAGGGGGATTTTATTGATAATTTTTAGCAATGTTTTAGATCATCAAAACCTGCCCTCTATTTATCAGTGTTATATTGTTTGTTTTCTCATATACAACTCATATACTTCAGAAAGCATCAATATCTGAAAAGCAAAGTCTTAATTAGGAACCTCTTATATCAATTCAAAAATAGTTTCATGTCATGTTTTGCAGATTTTAAATAACCAAATTAGTTGCAGTTCTTTTCGATTTCACTATAGAATCTTCGTTTTTAAAAAAAAACAAAAAGAACACAATTTCTTGTAGCATTCCTTTCTACTACTAATTAATAAATTAAAATATTTATGCAATTAACATTCGGAAGATCCATTACCATGATAAACAGGCAAGAAACTCCTTCAATAGGAACACGACTATTTAGCCCAGGGATGTCCAACTTGCAAGGCCTCAAGGGCCACAAAAAATCCTTCAATATGGTTGCGGGGCTTACCTCTATTTGCATTACTTGGGCGATCCACACCTGACAACCCCGTATTATTGATCTCTGCAGTTTGCTCGTCTGCTCTGAAACGGGGAGGGGGGGGGGTGAATCAAAGCGAGATATCAGCCCGTACCACACATAACACAGGAAAACACGTCGGGAAGATTTTGAATTTCTAAATTTACTAGAAAAAATGTCTTTCAATCTGAAGTCGATCTATTTTTACATTAAGAGGATGTTGATCCCGGCGGGGCGTGTGCGCTAGCTAGACGAGGTTCTCGCCCGACATGGAAGCCAGGGACTTTCGTTCGACTAATAACCTTTAACGGAACACAATAAATGGCACCGCGGGCCACTTGGACAACCGTGATTTAGCCCATGAAATTCTTCCCTTATTTTAACCAAAATACGTGTTTCAGTCGATCAATTCCTTTGGTGTTTTCACTTTATCGCATACGTAGCAGAGCTGCTGTGTTGAGGGATCGTCGCGTGCCGCCAAGTGCCTTTCGCCCAAATCCGCGCGTTGGTAAGCCACAACGCCTGACTCCACCCCACTCCACCCATCACAACAATGCAAGTCACGCAATTCAGGCGGAGCTACTCCCGCTGACGCAGAGCTAACGGACCGGCCGGCAAAATCTAACGTCGCCCACGATCGCTGGATAGTGACTCGTCCCCACCCTTCGTGAACGTGGAGTTTCGCAGTGCTCTCTTCTTAGGTTGCTTCATGTTTGACTGCGGTTGGAATTAGCGCCGACCCAGGACTGCGACCTCGAGTGGCAACCAGTCTTCCCCCTGCCTCCCCTATTCGAGAAATTTAGACCGACTCTTAATATTCCGCCACTATACCGAGGGAAAGTTTCAACATTTCATTGCAGACACCCCTTTCAGGTAACGATCTGGAACGCGATCACCAACATAAGATCACTTGCAGTGCCGGAGCTAGACAATTTTAGGTCCGGGGCAATGCTGAATCGAAGCTCCCCCCCCCCTTCCCGCGAAAAAAATTTAAAGTGTGCAAGTTGTGCCTATATCTACTGTTCCAAGAAACTATATGAGTTATTATGAAAATGACAATTCATGGTGAATATCTGTGCAATATGAATACTTTTACAGAAATGTAAAAGTATTACTTACAGAAATGTAAAAGTATTCATATTGAACAGAATACAGAACTGATATACAGACTTGAACATATATACAGAACTCATAGAGTCCTAATTTATAAGTAAGGACTACTGTTTAAGGTTAAAAATTAAATGAACATTTTATGAAACATCAATCTGTTCCTATAAAACGCAATATCGATATTCCCAACTTCTAATTTCTTTTCCAATTTTTCACTTCTTTTCCTCATCAGCCCCATCTCCGGGCCCCGGGTGATCTCCCGGTCTGCTCTTGCCTAGCGCCGGCACTGTTCACTTGCCGTAGAGAGCGATTTTTGTGCCCCGTTGATTCATTGAAGTTTCAATACGGCGGCGACGTACAATATCAAATAACGTATCGGAAATAAACTTATTTTATACAATATTACTTTTTAACTATTAACATATGAAACATCACTCTACTCTATTTTATGGTTTATCACTTACAGGTAAAAAACAATAGATCACTTTAAAAAATCAAAGATATATTTTTTTTTAAACTAAAAGTATTACGAACAATATCTCCACGGAATCCCCGAAAATACAGCACAGTAAAGAAAAAACTGCATTTCATTATTGTTAACAGTTAAGAAGTCATGGGGGATATCCAATGTTTGTGAAAGGAATGCGAAACATTTCTACGGGTTATTCACAAATCATGCCCCCTCCCCTCCCACTCGTTTTGTTCGGCATCAATGAGTGTCAGAAACCCCCGCTCACATGATTGAACAGATTATAACGAGTTCGAAATTGGGTACAAAAAATCGCAAATATGTAGTTGTTTGGGGTTTTCAAATTCTACTCATCTGGAATTTTTCACATCGCATTAAATCATATTGATGGCGAATACAATAAAAGTATTTTCTTCTAAAAAGTTGAACTGATTCCGGTGCAACCAGGATGGTGTAATTCATGGCCAACCAGAAGGATCCAGGAAGCAGCTTTCTTTACCCAAAATGCAACAGGATAGTTTTTATAACCATGTGCTCGCTAATGAAGCGTAATAGTTACAGAGAAAATTACAAATACAGTATACATAAGTTATGACAAATACTACAAAGCGACGTGAGATAATTCGTTGACCTAGTAATTCGCGCAACCGACAATTACAAATATCTCATAACTACATAATTTATCTAAGAATAACAATTTAGTTAATAGAATTTAGTTGCAGGTGTTCAATTGTTAACTAATGGTTATAGTTATTCACATATTCAAGTAACTAATAACTAATAGATTATTTGATACTTATACTGTTACATACATTGTTTTCTAGCTGCAAAAGGAGTAGCCTTGGAGCGCATGTCATGCGTTTTTTGTGGCCTCCGTGTGTGGTGTCCGCGCCGGTTTTGGCATCTTTGACACCCTGCAAGGCCAACGTAACCGAATAAAATAGTCTTGAAGTGCATTTCTCCGTGACAATGGTACAATATTAACAGTCGGCGTGCTCGTAAAAGCACTAAATTTCTCAAAAGAGTTGTTACGTAGGGTAATATTCATATATGAAATCTTCTCTTCCCTCTCGATATCGCGGATTAAAGAAGTAATTAGGGTTCTATTTAAAAAGTCAAAGTTGTGTCAAATCTCTTAAATTTACAAAAAGCTATATATTAATCATCTTAATTAAACATCTGTGCCCGTCGCATACATTCGTTTTAGTGAAAACCACATTTCAATATCTGCAACGGTACAGAATACATTCGAAGGAAGCATTTTAAATGAGCCTCACTGTATGGTAGAAACATCGAAATATTAAGAAGTGATTCACGCATCAAAACACACAGAAGTTCCCGTAGAAGATAGGATCTTGCTTCGTAAACCTAAACGCTCAAGTGGAATTCCCTATCCGGGTAATTGATCTTAACATTTCATCCCTATGCTGTAAGGGAGAAAACAGTCAAAACAGTGGCCTATGTTCGGGCCCATGTGAAAGAGGGGCTATTTTAAGGCAGGATTTGAGTTTTTAAAAATTGCGAGCGTCAGGTTTTGCAATTATGTATGTAGTCATCATAAACTAATAGATACGAATTTGTTGAAGGGTATTTTAATTATTTAAGGCACAATTTGTGTTTGCTATACACTTTTATAAACGGGGCCCGGATAAAAGTATGGCGGGCGGGCCCGCACACATTTCGTTACCCCACTGGCAGAAAAGTGGGAACACCTCATCAATACGATCTTTAATTTCCTGTCATAAAGATAGGGTTTATGGTACTTTTGAACTGTAACTTCGCACACACGTCAGGCGTAAGGTTTATTAGTGATGTTCCAAAGATGGTTAGCACTGATACAGAGAGCTAGGAGATGAAAGTAGTTTTATATCTCGTCATGATGTCAGCAAGGATGCATACTTTACTTATACCAGTCGTGCTCAGGATTTTTCATGTGTGTGTTGGGGGGGGGGAGGTACAGATATCGTATTCAGAAGACTACGTTTTCTTGAAAATATATTTTTTCATTTATGCAGAATATAAAATGTATTTTTATTCAATACAATTGTCAGGTCTTGCCCTGCAATGGGATGTATGGCTGACAGTGATGATGATAATATTAATATGTATCATTGGTTTCTGAGGGGGACGTAAGGCTCCATGAGAAACGTTGCAAAGAATTAACATTATTTTAAACTTCAAACTACAATTGTGTATGCAATCATATTTAATGCATCGAATAAAATAATACCCAACTTTTCAGAAATGTTCATCCAAAAAACTGATGGAGGGAGGTGAGATATATTTGAGAAAATACTGTAATATTACATTGCAAAATATTAGAATAATACTCAAGTTAATCATCAAATTTAAAGTTTTTCAATAACAAAGCACTTCAAGTTCCATACATACTATTCCCTTATATAGTTTCTGGATCTGCATCTGGAAACCATGACTTAGGAAACTCAATTCCAGCTCCTTGGACTGCATTAGAGCAACAGACCAAAAACACAATTTACCTCCCAAATTTGTAGTTCTCTTATTTGTGTCATTTCAATAATTATTTTTTCACATGCAAATTAAATTTTATTCCTTTCAGGATGTATCTAGAGGTCTCACCGAACTTTTGAATTATGAAGGCAATGTGGAAGAAGACATGTGCATGAATTTCCAGGCAAGTATCTGTGCAGTTAATATTTCACTCTGAGATGTTAAATATTAAAAATATAATAAATATATTTTTATTTGAAAATAAAAAAAAATACTGTTGGGGCAATCATTATCTGAAAAAATACAAATTAATCATATTTATAATATTTAAATGACCTCCTTTTTCACATTAAGTGAATGAATCTTATCTTCACCCAGTTTCTCTTGAACCAATCAACAAAAGTATTTCCCTTAACAGAAATTAATAATCTCCACATTTTAAATAAGCATGTTATGTTTACACATTAATGCACCTTCACTCAGAAACATTTACAATGTTCTTGTAGGTGTCACTTGAAGAATATGGTGAAGTTAAAACATTTAAGTTGAAGGAGAATGGAGAGAACATACCAGTTACATGTGAGAACCGAAAAGAATATGTAGATTTATACATGGACTGGGTACTCAATGCTGCTATATATGAACAGTTCCGTGCCTTCTACCTTGGCTTCCACAGTGTTTGTGCATCTAATGCTCTTATTGTAAGTGTAAATGCAAAGTAGTTGTATTTAGATAGTAATGTTTGCAGGCAAAAAGGAAAAAATATTTGCAATTGATTCAGTTACTGAGTTACACTCTAAAAAAATTATATTTTCTTAAACAGATGCTGCGACCAGAGGAAGTTGAAATGTTAGTATGTGGTTCTCCAACTCTTGATCTAAATGAATTAAGAAAAGTAACAGAGTATGATGGCTACAAAGCAGATGATCCAGTAGTTATGTAAGATATATTTTTCATTTCTATTATAAAATTAGATATTTTTGAAGTAATGAAATGCATAATATTTACAAATACATTAACATATTTGTTTTATTATTCTTATTCTCATATTTTTGCAGTGATTTCTGGGAAGTGCTGCATTCTCTCTCAGAAGAATTAAAGAAAAAATTTCTCCTCTTTGCAACAGGAAGTGATCGGGTACCAGTAGGGGGCATGGGCGAAATGACATTCAAAATAACAAAAGTAACAAACAAACCAGAAAACTTACCAGAAGCACATACATGCTTCAACCAATTAGTCTTACCAAGTTATGAGAATAAAGATATGTTACGACAGAAACTCATTATAGCAATATCTAATGCTGAAGGTTTTGGTCTTGAATAGATGTGTGCAGAACAATCTGTGAAGTGTGTACATTAAGAGTCTCGATTGGAGAACCAATATCATGAGCATCCTATTTCGTGTACATTTTTAAGTATCAGGTTGTAAATAACTCTTTCTTATTGAATTCATGAAACTGTCTGCACTAAACAAACAGTGTTTAACTAACTACTATATTCCATTTTAGCACAACTCTTTATACTGTGAATATATTGTGTCTCACAAAAACGAACATTAAACAAAACGTTTTTCAAAAAAAACTTATTATCAACAAATTGTTAAATAAGTAAATGTTCCATAAGTGATTATGTTTGGTGCTTATTAAATGTCATATATATCACACTTGTTTTTCAACACAAGTTTTGTTAATTTTACAAGTGGATAATATGATGTATTTCAAGAACAAATTAAAGCAAAAAACCATAACACTTAACTTTTGAAGGACAAAACAAAAAATATTATTAAAAAAGTAAGTAATATTTAATCATAAATTAAAACTAATCATATCAAAACTTACAGATTTTTCTACAGACTGCAGACAAACATGTCTTTGATATCTGTAAAAATTCAAGATATGTTACAATCATATTCTGTAAAAGAATAAGCCATTTTCATGAAGTACATTAATATTTCCAATCTTTCTTTTTCACAACTATTTCAGCAACCAATTATAAAAATACATGTCAGACAATTCTAGTGAGAAACTGTTTGCAATTAGGCCAACAGATATGTTCGGCCAAAAACAAATTCTAAACTGTTGTAAATATCTGAATCACACAATGTACATAATTGTATTGTATCTTAATGGGAAAACCTTGTGTTAATATAATTCGAAGGCAGTTCCACATCCAGTTTCTTTTACGAATTACCTTCCAATAGCAGTTCACCACCACAAATGTTCGTAGATCTCAACAATTAAGCTAGTGTGGTTCACAAAGAAATATAGTGTGATGACCCAATTGCTTCCGTCAACACACTATTACGTGTGAGGCACTGCGGGAGCAGATGTATACATTCTTTGCTGAATAGATGAGTACTACGTGAATACATCACACCCCCGACCTCCTCCCTCCCCTCTTCCCGAATAAATGTAAGGTTTGAGTTCACCTCGCCACAGATAACACAAAGCGTTTGGAATTATTTTCTCGCCCTTACTACGTGAGAAGAGGCGTCGTGTGCCAGGAAATGGGGAGTTTTCGACACGAAACGCAAGAAGGATTTTCGATTGGCGACAAAAATTCTCCCTGTCCGACCGTCTATGGGCAAAGCTAACGTCAAATTTTCTCAAAATTTTCTCAAACTCCATCCTCTGATAATGTAATGAACACTTAAGAGATTGGTGCATGTCTCATTTTCGTTGAAATCCCTGATATTTCAAAAATTACAATAGTTCAATGTTTTTCGCCGTCTTCCTACCACTACAATATTGAAGTAAAAGATTTGTTTCTCAATGAAATCTGCTCTTTAAAAATAATCTTGAAATAAGGTTTAATTTTTCGAAAATATGAGTAGATTTCGGGTAATTTTGTGTGAATTATTATTATTATTATTATTATTATTATTATTATTATTATTATTATTATTATTATTATTATAATTATCTCAAAATAATTGTTTTACAAAATTCCAATTTCGATTTTTTAATTTTATTTTCGTGTGAACGTTAAAAAGAACGTTAAAAAAATAGTCCTTTCCAATCAATTCTCTCTATTTTTGGAATTGCAAAAGGTTAACACTTTAAAACTACGAAATTGAAGATAGAGATTCTTGCTTCAAACAAGATTTGTTCTAATGCTTAGATGTTTAAAAAATGTCATATACAATTGTTTGAAAATCAAGTCGTTTTCGCGCAACTTCTGCTTGAAATTACGTGAATACGCACTTTTTCCGTAGAACGTCACACAGTTTTAACTGTTTCTGACTTTAAATAAATGAATAATAATCAGTGCAATTTATAAAAAATATATTTCCTCTAAAAACACTCCTTATTTTTTCCACGGATAAAACAATGAACACCCAAATCTCATTTGCGTTGAACTCTCTAAATTTTCGAAAATTGCGAATTTAGAAATAATGCATGAAAATGCTTGCTGTTGAGCACCACTAGTTTTTAATGATTAAATTAAATAACTCCAAATTTTATCTTTAAAATTCTTGTAAGAATAGAGTGAAATACACTACAAAGATTGCAAAGGTCCAAATTTTGATGTTAAATCAAAATTTCCAAAATTGCTAAAGAAACCTTTTGGACTCCTCGTAAAACTACATTGCCAATTGTAATAAAAACAATGCCCCAATCAGGGCGGTGTAGCTCAACAAGCATATAGCTTTTCTATCCCATTTTCACGTGTCGCATTTTGCGTTGCACTTCTGTGGACAGTCTTTGGCAGTCATAAAACACGCACGTCAGCATGGTATTCTAATAATGTACACTTCTGCACCACACCCATCTTGCGCTGGCTACCATGGACTTGCCGTGATCGCGACTGCAATGTCCCGCAGTCTCTACAAGTATACAGCGTCTCCTGAAGATATTATACCTACGCGTACAGCATAGTCTACATGTAGGATGTTTGGGCTATTAAGTGTCGATGAAATGTGCACGCGTTGTTTAAACGTGTTATAAAGTAAACAGCTGTTTGCGACTTATTTACTAACTCAACCTTGTACATTGTTTTAAATATAGTAGTTTCCGCAAAATTTAGAGTGAAATAAGGGATATTTTTAAAAACAAAATTTCCGCAAGAATGGCACGATTTTCTTTAAATTTCTTCTACGGATAGTGCTTTATGTATTTATTAATATGGCTTAAGCCCTAATTTGACAGATTCTTTCGATTTTCAAAAATTATCCACAAAAAAATCACGTCGCGTCGTGCATACAACAATACCCGTCACTTTCCCACCTTACTTCGTAATCAGAGAAAGTATTGAAATCGTGCAACGGAAATCGGTGATTTTTGACAGAAAACTCTTCTTGGCGGGCTCTGGTAAGGAAAAAATGGATCATTCTTTTTACCTTCTCGATACGGAGTAGAGAGAAAGTTACGTAATGCTGTGCGAAGAAAACGGCGAATATTTGGCACAAAAATATTATCGGGCCCTGATATCGAAAAAGTGGATAAATCCAGTTGCTAAATTTAGGGGGGAGAGAATCCTCTATCATGTGCTGTACCCAGAATCCATGTTTTGTGGATCCTTGATACCGAAAAATCGAATAACAGCAAAACTAGAAACTAGACGCTAAGCCGTCCAGACGATTTTCCCAAAATTGGACGTTCACCAATCGATCTGGCTGATGTCGCAGCTCTTGGAATTTGAAACCGATATTTTAATTTTGGGGGGTACTTTACATGAAGCCCCTGGAACATAGGGCTAACGTTAGTTAAAAACCCTAATTTTTCGGAAATTGATAGATCAATTTTTTTCGGTGTCTTTCTACAACTAAAATATTGAAGATAGAGATTTTTCCCTTAATGAAATCTGTTCCTTAAATATACATCTTGAAATAAGATAATGTACAATTTTTCGAAAATTTGAGTACATTTCGCTTAATTTTGCGTGAAAATACGGGCGAGAAAGTATGTGCTGTTTAGGGTCAGGCATTAGTTGAAACACCACGTTTTAAACTTTACTCAGAACCTGTGTTACCTTCAGGAAGCCTGAAATTCTGATTTTTTCCAACTCTCGAATTTCTCTTAATTACTAGAGCCTGAAGTTCTGTTTTTACCTAAAACAGGCGTGCTAAAAAGGCATTTATTCTGGCCAAGTATGGGGGTAAAAACAAGAAATGTTGAAAAATCAACAATCAAAATAATGAATGCAAAATAATTAATAATTAAAATGTTTATTATGTAAATTTTTATTCGAACTCCAAAATTTTCCTTAGTATTTACTTGGAAGGAAACTACCTTTTCTTGGTAATCTGATTACACACGACTATCCTGTGCAATGACTATGGACTTTACTCGATGCTTTCAACGCAACGCTCTCATTGAAATGCTATTGTGGTCTCCCTTTTGAATTTTGAAATGGTATCAGTGAAAACAGAATTCTAGATTTTGCTCTTTGCACTTGTGTAATTGCCAGAAGGGAAGAGAGAACAAAAAGGAATTGAGAAAGGTATATCATGTACAGACAGGATCTCTGTAGGTATCCATAGCCATACTCGCAGAATTTCTCATGAACGAACAAGTCTGTCAGCATCAATGAAAAATAACAAACATCTTCATTGGTATCATCCTCCCTTCCCCTGTGTCCACAGGACGACAATATACCACTGTGCAGGAGGAAAGAAAAATACAATAATGACGAAATTTATAACTTTAATCTCAACTTCTTTAAAAAAAGAATTCAAATCAATTTTAAAGAGGATAAGATTTCCTACAACTTCTGTACAAACTATTTCTTTTGAAACCAATTACCAAGCAAGCTACAGCTTTTCAAAAAGCGCAACTTTTCACTTCTCCAAAACATGTGCAAGAATTCACATGTTTATGATGTGATAATCAATTTATAATAAACATAATTATTATTTCTGTATCTGATGATTGCTATTTATCTCCATGGCAGTGTAAATACTGCCTCACATATGTATTCATTGCTGAATAACTTAATGTGTATAAGAAAATGGATGAATGTGTGTGTGTGTTCTGTTCCAGCTTAACTCTAATTTTGGAACAATTTCATTTCAACAAAGCCTGGTATACATTACTATTGAGCAATTAAAATGGGGAAAAGAATACCGTGTGGATAAAACACCTATAGAAAAAGGAATGGAAATGAAATATAATTAATCTTCTTTTTACTATAAAAATGCAACAGATACAACAAAATTTCAATTTATTTCCTTATCTATAGAATTAGTACATCTACTGTCTATCTATGTTACATTAAGATATAAACTTTGGCGAGGTACAAAAACATACCCTTTATATGCGCTTAATAATGAAATACAAATATTACATTATTCTACGCCAAAATGCTGACACTACAACAGTGAAATACTAATCAGATACGTGTGTGAAGACTTAAACCATTCAATTTTCACTGCTCAGGTTTTTATCTTCAAAAAAAATTATATATATTTATATATACTTTTCAGTGTTGTAATATGAGCTCTATAAAAATCTTGTTTCAGGTACATTAGATTACTCCTGTTTTGTTTTTAAAATGATGGGTTGATCAAATGAGAATGTTGTTCTAAACATCAAATAATTTTTTCAGTCTTTATAGACAAGAGTTAAATGTTAATTCATAATTCTTAATAATGAAAGACAGAAAGAAGAAGATGATGATAACAAAAAGGATTTTTACAATATAATATAATTTCATTACAAATAGGGGCATATTGAAGTTAATGCAGTGCATACCAAACATCTGCAAATTGTAATACTGAAGTACACATCCAGCAGTGAGATTCTGACAATCTCAACAAAATATTTTATTACACAATATTTTAAAATAAAAACCTTACACAAGTAAGGTTAAAAAGAAAAGAAATTCATTCAATAAATTAATACCAATCTATGATTAAGTAGTGATAATAAAACTACTTGAAATAAATATACATACAAGTTGGTCAAAGCTTTCCACAATGGATAGATCAACCAGTCACAACCACTTCAACCTGTAGAGTTGGCTTATTTCACTTACTAATTAAAAGATAACAACCCGTCATTAAGAAATCAATACAAGAATACTGTGCAAGAATCATTAACATTCTTCCCGAACATTTCTTTCAAATAAGAGGAAGACTGAATAAATTTTCAATTTTTTGCATTGTATACAGTGTTTGAAGTACATTTGTCACTAAGCAATGTTCTTCAGAATATTTTATCTTCAATTATTGTTATGGATAATTTATGGATAGGCCAAAAAAATGTTTTGGGGAGCTCCAACTGAAATGAAATGGAAAATAGTTCATTCACACAAAGCACATTGACAAATCAAATAAAAATATAATCATTGTAAACTCACTTCATCTAAGTTGGTGAACACTTCAAAACTATCGGACATTTCATCAGCCAAATCATCTGGAATCAAAACTTGAAGCCATGGTCCACGAGAAACATAGGGATGTTCAGCATCCACAAATGTCCCCGTTACAGTAGGAGCTACTAATGTTATAGCAGAATCTCCTAACACTGTCTTGAATGTAAAATGACGTCCATGTTTAATTCTGCCTCTACAAAAATAATCAAATATAAAAATGATGTGCAATAACAACGTGTGTATAATACATATAAAGGATTATGCTAACAATACACAAATTTGATAAAACACCTGTAATGAAATAAGAAATGGTTTTGTCGATAAAGAAAGAAGAGCTATACAAATATTTAACATAAAACACTCAAATATTTATCCATAATTTTATTCAATACTTTTTACAATAATATATTTTATAACTACAAGACCTGAAATAAATTAGTTTCAATATGTTATTATGATGTTAATTTTTTTTTTTTTTTCATATGAAGATTTTCTTTAATTCAGGTGGGAGGGGGAAAGAAAAATTAATAAGAAAGAACAGAAGAATAAGAATAAGAATAGGAATAGGAATAAGAATAAGAAGAACCAGAAGAGGAAGAAGTAGGAGACAAAGAAGAAAAAAAGATTTTTGTAATCATGCATTCTACTATGAAGCTCTTAATAAGAAATTTACAAATATACAAGTCAAACAAAGGCACATTGTTGAAATCAATGAGTAATATTAAGATCAACAGACGTGAACATGTATGATTACTCACTTTATAGCTAAAGGCAGAAGACTCCCTGCCTCAAGATTGAAAGTCAAATGCAACCCAGCTAACTGTTTTGTCCTTAACAATTCTGTTGATTCAAGAACGCCCAACTCTGTTGAGCTTGTTTCATACAGTTCCTTCTTGCAAATATTTTCGTTACTATAAAATAAAAAACATAATTACATCCTTATATTTGAAGCTAGGAAAAAAATTAATTACATAACACTTACTTGAAATTACTATCCTGAGGGATGCAATGAAACTAATAAGAAAGAGCTTACATGAAATATACATTCATTACTTCTAATTAATCTATAATTAATATTTTAGTACAAAGGTTTTGTAGTCACAATGAAAATTCTCTATATATATATTTTTAAAAAGAATACTCACTCATCAAGAGCACGACCCATATGTGGATGTCCTAATTTGGTATTTAGTAAACCTTTCCGAAGAGCTGCTTTAATTTGTCTACTTTCCCTTTCGCTTATCGATGGAAGAACCACAGATACAGAATGATCAAAGTCATCAGGACAATCATTTGAATCTTCATCTGGGTAATCATCTGTTTTAGGCAAAAAAAAAAAAATTTTTTGAAAAAGAATATCAATAAAGAACAAAAGCTGTATATAATCAACAAATTGCTAAAGAAGCCAAGATCTTTCAATGTACATTTAAAATGCATTGAGAATTTCTAATTCTAATAATTTCTCACCTCCACTAGTAGGAAGAATTGCCTGTAGATCAACGTCAGTCCAATTGCAGCGTGCACTAACACCACTAAGATTGGACCCTTCAGTTTCTATTCCTTGATCAACTTCCTCTTGAGCAGAAAGGTCTAGCTCAAACATACTTTCACCCCGACGCATATCTGTGATGAGCCACTGTCCCCCAGCTCTGCAAAATGTAGGCAAAAGAATATACACTCACAGAATTCATACATCTCAATACTAACTTGTAAATTACAGTCAACTCTGGATATAATGGACTCTGATAGATTGAACTTTCAGTTATAGAGAACAAAAGTCACTGGTCCTAATCCACAAACATAACAAATAAACCCTATAGGATTCAGTTGCAGTGAACACAATATCAAATATAGTGAACATAAATAGTATAACTTCCAGAAAGATTCTTCAATTCATGGCAACAAATTCCAAAAATCTAAGAGTTTACAGTTAATCATCCATATTATAGAATTACGAAAACTGAAGTGTGGTTGAACAACGCATAGCATAAAGGAGCAATTTGTGCAGGTGAGAACATGAAAAAACAAAGCCTCGTGCAGCACGTGCTTTAGAACCAAGATCAAACTGAGCACTTGTCCTGTTTTGCTCATTGCACTGCCGGAAAAGTATAAATCTTGATATTTAACTGAGAATCATAGTTTTGTCAGGATCGCACTCATCCCAATGTTTAGTCACACTCTTCAATTGTATTATAACAATTAACTCAAAACAAGAAACAAGAATAATATTTACCCAGGTAATCTCCTGAGAATTTCTAAAATGCCTGTTCCATTCCAATGCTGAGCAGCTTGTAACTCTTCGGTACAAATTCCAACAATTTGTATAAATTGAACCACTCCAAAGGGAGTATGGCAGGCTCCTAATTGTGGATCTATTGCCATAAGCATGTGCTGAATGCGGGATTCACTGTTGTCCAAAGCACAATGCCATGAAACATGATCTCCAGCACATAAGGTATTGGCTGTAAACAAATATTCAACATTCATCTACAATATTAAACATGATACAGGACATTTCCAGAAAGTAACTGATAACTTTGATTTGATAAGTGTGGGATATATTCAGAACAGTATTCTTAAAAGTGATCTCCAGGACGTCCAATCATTAAATCAAATGAGCAAATCCTCTCAGACAAAGTTCAGTTGCCCCACTGTATGATCATGAGTTTTTGAGAGATTTGTGGAGGCAACACTGAACAAATGAAAAAGCAATCTTTTAGATGGACATGATGTTCACCACTCTGAGCTCTATGCATGACCTATTCTCATAAAATATCCTGGCTTAGATTGTCTTTTTGAAGGCAAATATTGTATTGCCTCAACTGGAGTTTAAAGTCTAGTTCTTCTAAACTGAATCCCAGTGTTGTTTTACCTGACACTACTACAGTTCCTCTCTTTCCTTAGTTATGGTTCTTGGGCAGAAATGCATTGCTCTCACATCTCTAGTTCATTTCTCAACAACTGCAATTTTCAAAATCCTAGGTCTCTTCACAAACACCTCACTCACTAAACATAAATGGGAGTTTAGGGGGTTTCTCTAATTTTTTCCCTCTACTTTTATTTTCTCTACAAGTTTTGATGTTTCACCTCTTATTGAGAATATTTTCCAATTAATCTCTTACCACAGGACACATGGCTACTAGTGGCAAGGCATCCAGTCATTGACTGAAGCAGCTATGACCAAACAAAATTATAACAATAATGCATTTTCAATATTTTATAGAAGAATTTAAAATTAGTAAAAATCTAGAGGTATTTTAGTGATAGTAATAAAAAATTATACAAGAAATAACTCTTAAACAATGAGAAGCATGCAAAGAATTCGTCAATATTAGTACATTGGATTGAGAGCTCTCCTCTGCTTTCAGTGCCGCAGTGTCGTAATTAAAAATAGTTTAAGTACCCCGTGATTAAGGATTGCAGATTGAAATTTTCAACAGCATAAAACAAAAACAAATCATTTTAAAAATTGTTATACAGCTCGCATAGTTATTGAACCAAAAATTATGATATCTAAAACAAATCAGCCCATATAGAATAAAGTTGTTTAACAACTTTTAAACAAAATAATAAAGCAATTCAAGAAAAGGCAGGATAGCTATTGAAGCTTTTAAAAACAACAGTAAAATTACATACCTGATCCAAACACGTATTTTGCTAGAGCTTGCATCATTGCTGCAGGCCAAGTGGGTGGAGCAGTCTCTCCTGGTTCTTTCTTTAAACGGAATGATAATTCAAATCCAAAACCACTAGGGTTCCCAGGTCCAGTTACTTCATGAACACGGCCATCACCATGCAAATCTGACAACCCAAAACTGAAAGCACAAGAAATATAGTATTAAAAATCACAATAAATTAATCTTCAAAAAGTGTCAACAATTATAATAAAAAATACCTGATGTAATGCCAGTGTGGTGGAATATTCTGTTCTGGAATCCCAGGATTGGTGTACATACTAATGTAATCCAAAGGATCAGGACCACCCAACCTGCACAGAGAATTAACAAATCTTAGAATATTAATGCAGAAAATAATTAAGATAAACATGAACTGAAATAATTATGAGGAATTGTGCCTTCCTATTATGAATATGCTTATTATTTAATACAAATTTACTACATTTACATTTATTATTCCTAGGAAATTCTAAAAATAATCAGTAAACAGGCAAATATTCGGCCCATTTAGATAAATTTCCAGATTGTTTGTTAAATACGTAAATGTCAGCCATTATCCACTAACTCATATTTAAAGCATCTTTATGCACTAGAGCATTTCCAGTGGTTTCCAAAACACCTAAGATTAAACCACTTTTCAACAACAACAAAAAAATCACAATTATCAGCCAATTTGTCTTTTGTCAATTTTTTTCTCAAAAACATTATAAGCATGGTTTTGTAATATTGAGAATATTCTTCTTCTTCTTCAGGGTTTCTTAACCGCTACTTCAGCCTTCCGGCACCTAATCTTCTTCTGGCATCTCTGATCTTCCAAGAATATGGAGGTAATTTGCACTTCTCAATAATTTCCGCTTATTGAGAATATTAAAGGTAGAAATTATGCTAGGAATATGTGCAATTGCAGCACCACTATTTATAATATACATGTCAGGTTCGTTGTATTTTTATTACACTTATTGTAACATGTAAATGAGTAAAAGGAATCTAAAACAAACCGTTACATTACTGTGCCATTTACTGTCAGAATTTATTACTATCTACAGAGACAAACTTGAAGGCTCATTGCAGCATAGATTGTAATATTTCCGGTTTTGCCAAATTGTGGAGGAGAACTGTATGATCACAAGCCTTTCAATTTCTATTTTTTTCAGACATGTAATTTTCATCCTTTTTAAAGGTACTCCTCAAGGTAATGTGTTGATATCATGTATACTATCTAAAAAGATATTGTTGATAATTCAAGTTCAGTTAAAAATACTATTTTCATTAAACTTTTAAATAAATAGTTTTAAAATAAAAATTATCCTAATTCCTGCATTTCATTTTTATTCACAATCTTTTCTCCTTATCCCCTAATAAAGGCATCCAAAGTAGTTCCATTGTAAAATGTCTTGTTATTTAAATTAATAATAAGTTTCAGTAATATTATCTTAATTTTATAATTTTTTATACATTATATTACGACTGCTAATGGCTGAAGATGAAGATGATGTAATTTAGATGTTCCAAAAATTAGTAGAAGAGTATGGAAAATGGGTAGTGGAAATATATGTACAAAAGACTGAATATTGGTGGTGGGAGATATAACTCATGATATAGAGACCAGTATATGAATAATTAAAGATAATACACAAGGTTTCATGTAAAGTACCCTCAAATTTTGAATAATGTTTTTCAAAATCTCAAAGTTTTGACTCAAGCCAGATGTCAGAGGATTCTTCAATTTGAAAAAAAAATCCTACTTTTAATAAAACAACAAAAAATTTAATAAAACAATTTAGTCTTTTTTGAAAATTTTGAAAATGGCTGGGGATATTAAAAAAAAACCAAAATTTAAATATCGATTCAAATTCCAAGGTCCGCGACAGCAGCCAAAACGATTGGGGAATATAAATTTTGAAGAAAATCGTCAAAACGGTATATGCGCTAGCATTGTGCAAAGACAGACGGACGGTATTTGTCGGTGAGAAGGACGCACAAAACGGATTCTGGCCACACCAAGTGATAGATGAATTTGTTTTCTATAATTAGCAACTGGAGCTATCCAATTTTTCGTTACCAAGGCCCAGCAATAAGAGTTTCGTGTCGAAAATTTGCTGTTTTCCGGCTCACGATTACAATACTTTCTTTTCTTACATTAGTAAAAGCGAGAAAGTAAAAAACTACTAGACAGATTTCGCTAAACTTTTCGCACTTTGTTCTTATTGGTACATGGAATATTTAAAGAGTGGTTTGAATTAAGTCGGTCATGTGAATGATTTATGCATTTATGATTAGTGTTTACTGACGCGCCTCTGAACAGGAGATCTAAGCAACCCGCCTCACTGTCAAGTATTATGCGCATCTGTAGCTGCTTATTCTGCTCTTGTAATTCTGAAATATCGGCCGAAATTATTATTGAGCGTTATCTCGTATAATTAAATCTGATTTCTCTAATCAGTGTCATAACGAACATTTGCTCAAACTTGAGAGCGCGCGTTTTAACAATAAGATACTTGACAACCACGTCCAAACCACGACATAGAACTCATACTCGCGAGAAAGTCTTTAGTCTTTTACCATTTTTGGAGAGCGTAGCGTAAAACGTGTTGAACACTCATGTGAAGAGAGTATAGTGTGTGGAGTGTAATACACTGTAATAGCGAAACATTAAAGGGGGCCTGGTCCATTAGTATGCGTATATATTACTAATTTTTAATTAAGAGAAATTGCAAGAAAGCTACGCAACTTCCGGACATTTGAGAAGCGTCTACAGTTTCGCTAGTTACCAAGGAACTCGGGGAAAAAATCGAACATTTTCGATTCTCGTTTGAAAATCTTCTCGTTATTATCATATTCCGTCTGTTTTCAAACTGAGCGAACAGACAAATCATCATCTCCGCGGGACATAGCATTCGACAGCAAGAATCCAAGGAAAAGGGAGCCTCAGTTCCACATTTGCTATTGGTGTTAGTGTTATGGATCAGCAACTTTTTGTGTGTGTGTGTGTGTGTGTGTGTGTGTGTGTGTGTGTGTGTGTGTGTGTATTATTGATATGTAAACAAAAAGTATTGTGTATATGGTATACTATGTTATTGCTGTTACAAGAGTATTTCATGTGTGATTCTTTAGCAGTATGCAAACTACTTCAGAAACCTAGGACGTACGTAAATAGGTTTCGTGCGATGGTTACGATGCACGTTAAGTAGGTTTCCACGCAACCCAGCTTTTCGTTAATTAAGAAAGCCGCACCCCCCCACACACACTTTTTAATCCATTCCTCGAAACATCCGCTCACGTTCGTCGCCACCGGTTCTATTCCCGACCCGCGAGCCGTGGGTTCCCCGCCCAAGAGGAAGCTCCGCGCTGCCCGGGCGGCTTCCTCAAACGGGCGTCGCCGCCGCCGCCGCCGCCGCAGACGTCGTCGTCGTCGTCGTCGTCGTCGACGACGACCAGATGCGAGTGACGTCACTGCCGGGTCCCACGGCGGCCAGACGACCCCCAGCAGCGCGTGCGCGGCGTCATCCGGCGCCCGTCTGCGCCCCAGATGTCGCCCCCGCCCCGGCCACGGCCCAACGCCCCGTCTCGCGGGCCGAAACCCGGAACTCGACGCTATTCGGGTGCAGCGGCATATTCAACTAGTCATCAAGGAGGGGGGGGGGACACAGATTTTTGTTCAATAATAAACATATTTGTTATTACATTGAATATATTTATAGTGTAAATGATACTGCACAATATTTTTTTTAAAGCTTTACCTATTTATAACCTAAATAAATATTTAAATAAATTTTGGCATATCAAAAAAGATAAACGCTTTACCCTAGGCCTTTGGTGTGTGTGTGTGGGGGGGGTGTATGTCCCCTCCCTGCATCCCCCCTGTTCACGTGCCTACAGGGAGACATTGATACTCTGTGCTTGAAAGTCCTTGAAACGTTCGGTTATTAAATGCTCCAGTACTCATCAGGTAATTTTGGAGTAAGCGTTTGTGAGCGCAAAACGTAACGAGAAGAAACACTTTTGCGCAACGTTTCTTTCGAAGTAAATTATAAAGCATTGTTTTCAATCATGTGGCTAAATTACACCGATCAACAATTTTAATGTTTAATAGCTTTCCACATATTTCATTAACTGATTTTTGAGTTTCATTTTTCATTAACTGAGTTTTGTTTTTGCTTTATAGCCTTAACACGTAAGTTGTGAAGAGAAAGTATTGTAATCGTGAGGCAGAAATCAGCGAGTTTTCCATAGAAAAACTCTTATTGACGAGCCCTGGTAACCAAAAATTGGATAAGTCTTGTTTCTACATTTATTGTAAATTACTTCCTCTAACGCGTTCTGTAGTCCCAAACCACCGTTTGTGGGCCCTTAATACCGAACAATCGATCGACGGCCAAACGCATCTGTAGTTAACGTTAGCGCCTAATCCGTCCAATTTTCTCCTAAATCAATATACTCCGAACGTTCAGAACGAACTCGAGACCCTGCAAATTTGAAATAGATATTTTGGTTTTGGAAGGACTTTACATGAAGCCTCAACATTCATTTTGTTTAATAAACTTGCCCTCTGATAGTGTCGAGAAAGTTTTAAAAAATGAGCAAGGCTCATTTTCGAAAATTGCTAAAGCTATAAGTAATGCCAGAAGAATGTGCTGTTGTAACACTATTACTTTTCTAAAAGATCTAGTTTTTTGAAAATCATATGTCTAATTTTCAATATTCAGTTTCTTTTCACCAACGTCATAGTGCAATGCAAAATTCGAAGAAATGCATTAATTTAACTGAGTAATTAAAATTGCATTGCAAACTTAATATTTTTACTGTCGTATTCACAATGACAAACAAAGGCAATGCCTTCACATTAGAAGTAATAGCATACACAACATTTAATACGAGAAGGCAAAGATCTATTGCATATTCCTGTAGGGTACAAATTTGTTTGAAGCTATTGTGTTAATAGGTTTTTTACTGCAGCTTTGAGCACACCGACTTTCTACAACATTCCAGGTTAAGCAAACGCAGTGCAACAGAACATGTTTTGTCGAGACCTGCGTAAGACACAGGCAGGGGCACCGCCTACCGGGCAAGGAACACGCGCCCCCTCCCAATACTTTCAAGTATACTCAGTATTTTCATTATTTCATTTTTTTTTTTTTACTACTAGATTAAAGCTACCCACCAATATGCTTCGGAACAGACGTATGATGATGCTGCCAATATGAGCGGGACTTAGCCGCCGTCGAGGACTGAAAACGTGTGTAAAAATTGCACAACACGTATTGAATAATAAGTATTGAACATGTAAGTTTTGAATAATACTAACACCTGTCACATACAAGCTGACCCTTCTCACCGCAGCAACGTCCGTCACCAGACAATCTTTGATCCAATCTGCATTAACAAATTGGTACGCTACTAATCGATTCAGAAGCTTCGGCACTTGCGTAGTGTTGACACCTCAAATTAAAAAACAAATGAAAGGCATAGCTGGAATGTCGAAGTTAATCAGCTGAGCGACAAGTGTCGAGAGTGATGTTAGTAATGACAAAATGTGTTGCATGAGCGAAAATTGTAGTTGCGTGAGATGTTAGTTTCGTCTTCAATGTTAATCGCGTACCGTGCAGTGGTTGCTACTTCGTAATGTGACAGAGCCTGTTGCACGCGGAAAGCCTTCGCCCTCGGCATCCCACTGTCGACATTCTTATTTTATTCGCACCTCAGCACTTGATACAGGTTTGGATAACTCAGTATGGTTTAAGTCGATACATGCGTCACTATTTTTTCTTACCAAATAGTTTAATGATTTGATTTTCAGACAATATTATTGAATTAGTCAACAGCTGCGATATGTCTTGTCGTATTTTATTCTACCGCGTGTACCTAGTTCTTTTCATAAAATTAATAAAAAAATGGTGACTTGAAATAAAATTCCGGCGAAATACTACCATTTACCAAATTACCATTCAAAACGCTTCTTAGCCGCTCCTTACCCCAATTTTGCGAGCCAGGAACATACATGAAAATGAATGTTGTCACTTTGTGATTATAATGTGAAAGAGGAAGCAAATCATCTACTATATCGTAGAGATTGCATTTCCATGATTCACAATTGTCGGGAAAGTAAAGGTTACGGTGACAACTGCTGTGCCTAATATGAACTTACTTTTCCTTCGCCTAGGAAAATTATCGGAATCGATCCAAAACTTCCTGGACGAAATTTCGGAAAAATTGCATTCATCACGATGTCTGTATCACTGGATGTGAGGATGGACATGTCACTCATAACTGAGGCAGATTAGAAGATTGTTTAGCTCTACCTTGATAAACATGGTCTGTGATGGTAGTGCCACTGCTAAATCTACAAAATTGGTGCAGGTGGCAAGGAGGTTTACACACTTTTATACAAAAATCATTGGCCTAAAGAACGGGAGCGGAGACATTGGAAGACGTTAGGCTAGTCCTTAGCATGCTCATCCCCTGGTCCACAAGACTTACATGAGGGCGATTTAGTGGGGTCAAATTCCACGTGGAGTAATCGGCATGAATACCTCTAGGCAGAAGACGTCGTCACGCCACGGTCGCCCTTCGTAAAAGTTTTTCTAATTAAATTATTTGAAATTAGGCGTTTGAAACGCACTTCACATTTTCTACAATAAAAAAATAGAAATAATTATGTACTGCACTTGTTTTTCTTGAACTTTGGATTCTTGGAAGTGGCTTTAATCAATTCCAACCTGGCAGTATTAGGTAATTCATTTAATAAACCTTCACGTATTAGTACTTTAAAGCAAGAGAAAAATGAACGATAAACTAAAACGCCATCATTAAAAAACCAATACAAGTGGACTTTGATAGTTATATAAAAACTCATAGTCTTCAATGCACGATCTGCCAGTACAAAAATAATCTAATATTAGCACAATCTGCTAATACACAATTTTCCTTCAACCGAACAAAAAAAGTTTGTGCAAATCTTCCACATGAAAAAGTCTACGATTTTGTCCGCGCACTTATGGCTCCACCCTTTTGTGCGCCAACGACACAAGAAATCTTGTTGAGCGACAGCGGAGGCTGCAAAAAAAGATCTCGTTGTTGAGCTAACCACAGACACACGGCTCTTTAACACAGAACATAATCGTAAGCCGGCGAGATCCGTGCCTCAATGCGGAAACACCTTTTTGACAGCATATTCAAAACAAGCCCCTGCCATTACCACCGTGATTGCAAACAATAGAAACACGTACAGGCACTTAAATATTATTTCAAAAAGGAAGGATAGGGATTTAGAGATGAAATATTGGAATAACTATATAATTCAATTGAAAGGGAAACAAGTTTTCTGATAAAAATAAATCATTTGTTTTTGTTTTTTCTACAATTTAAAACTGTCGACATTTAAAGAAATACGAACAAGAATTGGAATTCATTAAAAAAATTCACATAACACAAGGTGCCCCACCCTCTTGTTCTATTTTAGAAATCTCTTCCTCATAGGCGGGTTATTACCATTAATGCCAACCCCAAAGCAAGACAATTGGTTGTTTCCTCCTAAAGCACCTCTCAAGCAGGTAGATTCATACACTCGACATGAACATTTGGCGTTAAAAGGCAAAATAAAGCACAGACAATAAAACTACTAAAAAAGCAAACCTGCGTAACTGAGCTAGGTTTTGTACAAATTGATCATTCTTACACATCAGATAATTACATGCAAATCAAAAACACATTCCCTATTATACAGGTGCAGTCAGTTGTGTGATAGTCTAACGCAAGGGCGCAAAAGCAAAAAGAGCAATCTACATGTCTTTGTACCATATTTCTAGTGTTTCGATCAGAACCATATTTCCGATGGTAACAACATATTCCAAGCATTAATCATCCAAATGATGTGATCCCATTACAGTGGATAATATCAATTATTGCAAGGATTTCAGTAAGTAGCTTAATTTCAGTAAGTATACTACTTCAACCCACAAAGACAACTTACCAGTATTTTACGACAGCCGTTACTTGCAGAGGATTCGGTTGATCTGGATATAACCTCCGACATAATGAATACAATGCTTCTAGTCCCAATGGGGTTGGTGGAAAACCAGGAGGGCGCACACGAACATTGCAATCTTCGTTCATGATCCCCAACACTTCCGTAAACTTCCCTCACAAGGCCACGCTCGTGCGCGCGGCAGCTGAAGACGGTAGTTGGAATATTTGGTGGTCATGATTAGTTCACATTTGTTCCAACAGATGGTACTGGTTCAATGGAACTCAAATGAGTCATAATGTATTTGTAATACTTCCGTCATCTACATTTGTTTCACTAGATTGCCTAAATTGAACACAAATGAATTTACTGAATTCAAGACTCAAAACAAAAGTATTATAATTATTTCTCCTGAAAACTTGAGCATTAGTACTGTGCAGTCACCAGACAGCGGACATGACGTCATAGCGATCGAGTAGTGCCGGGGTTGTTTTCATGCGTTGTTCTAAATCATTGTAGTATAATGGAACCTTACGAAGTAATTGTTAATCAGCCTGTTGTCATTGACAATGTAAGTATGGCATTGTCGCCGTGTGTTGATGATGCAGAAAACTTCCTGTTCGGAGAGAGTGGCAACTGTCAAATGTGTTCTGTATGAACGCCATGTTGAGTTACTATGACACTCCTTCAAAGAAAATTAGTACATGATTTTAATGAATCTTCAAAATATGAGTTGCCATTTAACTTATTTTCATAATTTATTTCTATCCTCATCCATTTTGTGAATTAAATCCTAATTCGTTACTCCATTTAAGTGTCATAACCTGCATTCGCTCCATCGTTTCTTTTTAGATTTTTGTCTATTATAATTTAGTTTTTATTTATTCTCCTCGATGTTGTAGGGATCAGGTGTTATCAAAGCAGGATTTGCAGGAGACCAAATCCCAAAATGTCGTTTTCCAAACTAGTAAGTGAACTACCTGTGCGAGTGTTGAACGTGAATTTGTCTCGGCATTTACTAAACAAGAACTTTACTTTTCTTTTAAGCATTGGTCGACCAAAACATATCCGAGTTATGGCAGGTGCTCTGGAGGGGGATTTATTTGTGGGCCCAAAGGCAGAAGAACATCGAGGACTCCTTAGCATTCGATACCCAATGGAGCATGGAATTGTGACTGACTGGAATGACATGGAACGAATTTGGCAATATATCTACAGTAAAGACCAGCTCCAGACGTTCTCAGAGGAGGTACTACCTAAATTTAGGAATAGCAATAAATATTTCTCTTTGTAAGCATTTTATAAGTCATTAAATTTCCTTTTTAAAGCACCCTGTGTTGTTGACGGAAGCTCCTCTGAACCCACGAAGGAACCGGGAAAAAGCTGCTGAAATATTTTTCGAATCCTTCAATGTTCCTGCATTATTTGTTTCGATGCAGGCAGTTCTAAGTTTGTAGGTATAATTTTTTTTAAATTGTTATTTTGATAGTTATGATAATTCTGTATTTTAGTACAAAATATTGTTTTTTCTGTGAAAAGATATGCTACTGGTAGGACCACTGGAGTAGTTCTGGATGCTGGAGATGGTGTTACGCATGCTGTTCCTATTTATGAGGGATTTGCAATGCCACATAGTATCATGAGAGTTGACATAGCTGGTAGAGATGTTTCCAGATATTTGAGGTATGTATCTAATTTGTTGTGTAGACGGTTTGAGAATTCATGCAACTATAAAACATGTTGTTTCAGATTATTATTACGTAAAGAGGGTGTTAATTTTCGAACTACTGCAGAGTTTGAAATTGTCCGAACAATTAAAGAAAAAGCATGTTACCTTGCTAATAATCCCCAGAAAGAAGAGACTGTCGATACAGAAAAATATCAGTATGTCTTGCCAGACGGGAGCACTCTTGAGGTAAAGATTAAAAACTCTCATGCAAGTAACTGATGGCAGCACAAATAATTATTGCTTTGCATTTTGCAGATTGGACCTGCTCGTTTCCGAGCACCTGAGGTTTTATTTCGACCCGATTTAATTGGTGAAGAATATGAAGGGTTACATGAGGTCTTGCTTTATTCAATTCAAAAGTCAGATTTGGATCTCCGGAAAGTGCTATTTCAGAATATAGTATTATCAGGTGGATCTACATTATTTAAGGTTGTTCTTCTGTTCCCAATGATGTGGATGTAGCTTACAAACTTTAAGATGTGTTTAATTGTTGCTTTTCAAAAACTTTCAGGGATTTGGTGATCGACTGCTCGCAGAAATTAAGAAACTTGCACCAAAAGATGTTAAAATTAAGGTAAGTTCCTTATTAAAAATGTATATAATGTTGAAACTAAAATCACTGTTAACTTTGAAATATTGCAGATTTCTGCTCCACAAGAGCGGCTTTATTCAACATGGATAGGAGGATCTATCCTTGCATCCCTTGACACATTCAAAAAAATGTGGGTCTCTAAGAGAGAATTTGAAGAAGAAGGTCAACGTGCAATTCATAGGAAGACATTCTGAAGTCAGCAACTTCATTGTTTGGAACTGAATAGATCTTCAATCTGCATTACTGCTCGTGTACTGCAAGAATTGATAATGGTCATTCTTTGACTAGAGAGTGGATTGGGTTGAAACGCTATAGGGATAGTCTGTATGAAAAGACTGCACAAATCAAACAGCATTGGCCTTATGTATGGCATACTTTACATTTCTCATGCATAAAACCTGCAAATTTCTGTGTATGGCATTCAGATTCTGTGTTAAATATGGGGTGTGTCATGGGAACTAATTTAAATCAAAAATAGTGACTTTAATTTTTAACCTCTTGGTTATAAAACTCAGTTATGTATTTATATACTTATGTGTATTTTCAGATACACACAATTACAAGTACATACTATTGTATGTGTTATGTTCTTTACTGACATGATTTTTGCCCTCTTGCATAGGTAGCAAATATCAATTTCATAATACTAATTATGTTCTTGTATCTTCTTAATGCACAGCTTATTATCTCTCAGCCTTCCAATGATAATTTAATTCCAATGCAGCTATCATTTGTCATTTCATGACCTCAGAATTGTAGTGATGTTGACTTCTGGCTTTATTGGGAATACAAGGTGCTTCTGAGCATGAATGTAGTCACGTTATTTATTTTGTATTTGTAAATAATGAGAATTAAATGCATTATTTATCCCAAACCTACTGAAATTTTGTATTCACTATCATTTGTGGATGCCCATTAAAATGAAACGCATCAGTTAATTTAACTCCAATGTTGTCAAATAGGTTATTTACGATTACCATAAAAGTGTGCATTTTCTATTTATTAATATATAACCTGAAGCCTAAGGGGAAAAATTTCCTTTGTATGTACAATACTTTTACATTACATTGTATTGTATGTACAGTTTATGGCAAGGTGGTGCAAAACTGTAAGCAGCATAACTAGGCAGCAAGACTGGAATATTTGTATGACACATACTACAAAGGAGTTTTCAGGACATTCATACACTAGCCTCCAGCTCTTACAAAACAAGTTTTGTTGCAAACATAAGCGCACATTAAAGCTATGAAAAATTCATTAAATTGGCTTGCTAATAAAACTCAGTCTCATGACACAGTTTATCACGAGGTAATCAACAAATTTAATTTTCATTAATAATGTGGAGGAAGAAGAGTATATTTAATGCAACATATTATTCCAATAACTCAGTCTGAGAATGCTCTTGAAACATTCCTATGTAATTTCCTGCTAATTCCTAGTTATTTCCACTCTTGTATGTTCTAGTGTTACCCACTGAAGCAACATCAATGGAAATTAGTTTTAAACAATGCAAACAAAATATTCCATCTGCTTTGTTAGAATATACCTAAAAATACCATCTGGTAATTGGATGATCATGTTTGTTAAGACAATTATTTTATGAAGGCCAGACAAAGTAATGCATATCTGCCAAATGAGTAAAGAAAGGACCAGTAATTTTCTAAAACTAGTGCTTCACTGTCTGTTACATTCACTGCACTAAAACAACTACCAATCAACTCCACAAAAACTGTTGAAATTTCTGCAGTGTGGAATATTATTTATAATAATTGTTATAGTAAAATATAATTATTTTATGTTTTACTTAATATGCAATACTGTAAAACACTTTTACAGTGTAAATAATCCCTTTTGTGGTAAAGCTTTTTGAAAATAAAAACTGTATGACTTTACTTTCAAAGTTCTCTATTTTCAGAAATGAAAAACAATACATCAACCATTCAAGTCATGAAATTGTGCTGTATAATTTAAATACATCTCTACTATGAATAAATACATATTGCAACATATAAGCATTTTGAACTAACCTGTCAGCATGAATAGTATATATATGAAATACATAACATAGAAAACAGTCTACCAGGAAGTGAATAACAAGAGAAAGTAACTAGCATTCCTGAGAGATATCCTAGTCAGAGTTTAGCCAGGCACAGTATCAAGGGAGCCATTGAGTACAACAGGTAATACATCCGAATTTCTCAATTATAAGAAGAAAAAAGAGCTGACTTGCTGTATTGAAATTTAAAATTTTTACTAACTGGAATCTGGATCAATGCAAAACCACTTGTTTTGTTGATAGGATGTTTAAACCGCTATGTTGTACTCAACTACTCAAATGGCAGTTGTCAAGATATTCTTAATATAAACAAGCAATTGGTTAGATTTTCTTGAAAACTCAGAAATACCACTTTCTTATAAACATCTACAATTAGTGCAGCAAAGTAAAAATATTTGTTACATTTCTGCTCCTTTTGAAAGAAATTTATTGCACCACTCACATATCACACATCATTCCTTTACTATGTTGAGAATTATTTTAATATAATTTCAGTATTTGAAATTTTTAATTGCTACAAATAACTGAATGTAATAAATTCTAATTTGAATAACTACTACTACTACTACTACTACTACTACTGCTGCTGCTACAAAATAAAACAATATTTTAGTTTTCAAGCAATTCTGTTCTTTGCGGTGCAAATTTTAAGTATAATGGCACTTGCTAGTTGTATATAGAAATTAAACATTTGAAATAATATTTAAAACATAGATCAAACAAATTATTTAATTAATTTCCATTTGAAAAATTTTTCCTCTTATTCTTCCCTGATTCTGGAGATTGAAATTGCTATTTAGTAAAAAGTTATGAGATACTTTAATTTTCCCATTCACAATTTGTTCTGAGAAAACATCAATAAGGAGCAAGTCAATTATATATAATCTCACTACGAAACACAACCTCTGAGTAAAACTTGAAAACCTGAAAGGCACAGTATATATAGAATAGAGTGTTGTACTTTCATGTAATAGGCCACAGATATTACTTACAGGTTCTCTAAGATTGGTACCCCTATCAAATATAAATTAATGTTTTCTAAAACATTGCACCAATAATTTACATTTAAAAGAGACAGGAAAGTATTTTATTGTACATAATCCCCTACTGGTGGAAGACACTGGAAGTGTGAGAATCAACAAATATTACATACAATACCATAACTCAAGCTCAATAACATAACAATTGAAGTACTGTATTTCAAATCAGAAATCTGCACAGTCATCATTCAGTTTCCTTCACGAACAGTCTCCAGAAAGTAGATTCTTCTTACAAGAAAATGTCAGCACCTTCGGTAACATATCTCAGCATTTTTTAAAGTACTGTACAAGACATTTTCATATCACTTCACCAAGGCAAGTTCAATAAGAAAAGAGAAATGTTAAGACACTGATTTAAAAAATTAATTTTGGATTTCAATGTTTCAACTACAAATATCAACTTTTAGAAGAATATGTCTTTAAAACATTATAGATACACTATTTTCACACTAACTTTGTATCGCTGAAAAAGACCATCTCATCCACGCACACTCTGCAGTATAGTGAAATCATCCTTGTAAATATTAATATATTTCAGCCATAAGCAAGACGACTAACGCAGACCACCCAGTAAAGGGTCTTGAACCTTGCCCTTCCCCAGTCTTATCGTTATACTGTTCCCAAAGGTAGCCAGTACGATAATACTCTTTCATAATATTTTTAACCAAATTTTTTCTTAAGTCATTGTATAACATTAGGGATTTTTGTTGATAAGGTCCTTCCAATTCACTATAATGCTTTAATGCTCTTACCACTAAATAATTCATATTTATCCATATTGGTGCTCGCCAATAAGGAGGATCATGTTCTGTATTCCACTTCATGTACAAGGGAGATGATTTAGCCAGAGATCTTAGCCCATACTCGGTCCACAGCAAGCCTGGTCGTCTAATATCCTCAAGAACCTTGCCGAGTTTTGGTGAGTCTGGTTGTAATAATTGCAACAAAAATGGAAACAAACTAACATACCCAAATGTTGAATCCACAAATCGTAATTCAGGATCTTTCAAAACAACACGTATTTTTTCAGCTGTTTGTGCAGGATGGTGACTATGAGATCGGCTCGGAGGAGGCTTCTTTAACTCAACCATATCTGTGTGCAACCCGTAATCTGAATATGATTGAGAAAGAGGTGACCAATGTAGGTCATCCAAAATATTGTTATTTGAGAGATATTGGAATGTATTAACATATTTTTGTTCATTTCGACTTAATAGTTTGGCAAGATCAGCAAGTGTATTTGCTGCCAATGCAATCCAGCAGCGCAAATCAACATGACGTTCATCCAAATTCGGGTGCGATGCTCGTGGGTAATCATCCAATCCAGAAGTCAAGGTTTTAGGATTCAATTCCCTGTTTGTAGTACCATCTCTTCCACGCCAACGATATGTACCAGGCATATCACCAATCTGGGTGACATTAAACCAATCAAACCATGCTTGAAGTCGTGGGAAAAGTCTTTCCAAAGTGTCTAAACGTCCATTTTCATGAAGTGTGTGCCCAAATTTCTTCAAGATAAAGCTCAAAGTGATAAAAAATGTTGGTGGATTTCCATTAGTATTTCTCTGAGTAACAAACTCTTCAGGTACCTTGCTGAGAGCTTCTTGTCCTAAAATCTGTTCACGAGGAATCCATCCCTCAATATTCATAAGATCAAACCAATGGCATATGATGTCAAGTTCCATATCAATATCCCAACTAGAAATCAAAAGTCCATGAAATCCTTCATCCCACAAAAACCCTCTTGGAAAAAAGCTTCGTGATGGTACAGCTGTGTACAAGGCTGCTTTCCAATATGGCACAGGCCCTCTAGTATGAGAAGATTCTACCCTTGATGATCCATAGAAATAACCTATTCCACCGAGCAGATTGCTAAAAGCAGCTGCAGCAAACTTTATTTCTTTTTCACTGTAACCTTTACTTTGTAGCTGGAATTTCTCTTCAAATGAGTGGTGAAATTCATCTCTCCATTTCTGTAACTCCTTGCTGTATACATCCCCTCTGAGAATCTCTCGACGATCTAAGACACTAGAGGATTCAAATACAACATCAATTTCAAAAGGAACACTACCAGTCACTTGAGTGACAATGAAATTTGGTTCTATTGTTTTACCATCAGGGCCTCGACTGTTCAACTCTCCAGGTAAAGAAATCCATTTTTTACCTGTCTGTTTGTCTGTTGCCAGACGCAATGAATTTATGACAGTCTCTTTTAAAAGATGCAAACCCATAGCGGAAGTACTTAAATAAGATTCATGCAAGACTTTACCAACATTACTGAACATTTTAATTGAAAATGGACCTAGTCCCTCAGTCTCACCTCTCACTCCAGTGATCATATGACTACCAACTCTCTCTGGCTTAATCCAACCTTTCGATTTTTCTTCTACTGCTGTGTACACCAGAAATGAAATTTGTTCACCTTCCAATCTTTGATCCTGCAAATTCAGTCAAACAAATCATATTTCATATTAAGTCAAATAAATCATACTTGAAATTAACCCTGCATTTACACTGAGGTCCACAGGACCCAAGCTGATATTAATTTACCATTTCAATGATTTGAAAGGAGACCTACAAAGTCTTGTGTAAATTAATTTGGTACTATTGTCTAACAGAAACTATGTCAGTTCTATTTCAGTTTGATGTTATCTGTTGTTTAGTGAAAGCGAATGTACTAGGAACATGCTGTGTGGATGTTTTGTATGTGAATTGTAAATAGTGTGTTTCTCTCTGGTATATGTGATATTCAAATCTAAATTAACAAGGATTTTTATTTTTTATTGTGACCAGTTGTGAAACATAGGAGTACAAATTTCTACATAAATATTCAACAAATGATTGAATAATGCAAAGAAACCATATCCAAGTTCAATAAATAACGGATGTGGGCATACATCTTCAAAATCTTTTGTGGTCCCCCAGAACCCAATACACAACTTCATGCATGAAAAATGCTCTCGTGGCTCAATGGTGAAGTCGCTTGCCTTTCACCACTGCGGTTCCGGGTTCGATTCCTGTAGAATCTCTGTAGAACCTCATGTGAAATTTGTTACAACAAAACGAGTTTGCATGCTTCACAGGGGGCTAGTCCAATCCCTGTGAAGTGTCCTCAACCCTACCCCAATCCTAATTCCTTCCCAACTCTGGCTGCTGAGTAGTGAAGCAGGGCCGCACAATAGGAGACACATGCGCAAAGATGCTACTTGGCAGTTCTCTTGACAACTGTCTGCATGAGACGTGACAGATATGACATTGTAATTTTAATAGAGAATTACTCTCACGTTATTATAAATGGAGAATTACTCCAAAAGGGCAAACGACTCCCAGGGCTTAGACATGCATTGTGTCAACTGAAAATGCAACAAATTTTTTTAAAAAATTAAAAAAGTGTGTTTAGGTAGGTTACAACTATTTATTAAAATATGCTCCTACAAATGCATAAATCATGAAGAATGGCATGAATGTCATAATGAAATGTATTAGATGATGATCATGATCATCTTCATCATCACCACCATCATCATCATCATCATCATCATCATCGTTGTTGTTGTTGTTGCTGGATTGTAGTACCTACAGCATTACTCTGAAACTGCTCTAGGCAGACAGTACAAGGGAAGATCTAGATTATTTTGAAGAGGCCCATCCTAAATTTTTGTTAAAAAAATTAACATATTTGTTATTACATTGTATAGTATTTATGTACTGTAGATTTGACACTACGCAATATTATTGTTTAAATAATTACATAATTCGGCCATAAATTAATATTTAAATCAATTGTGCCAAATAAAGGAAAGTAAACAAAAACTCTAGGCCGTTTGAAGAGGGTCATGCCTCCCCTCTGGATCCGCCAGTGGGGCAATAAGCCTCATTCACTATTCATAGATATTGCGTGATTTTCCTCCGCCTAATGGCGAGATCCGGAGCCAACCTACCGTCGGCTAGCGGGGTACCGCCGACCTACCGCTGGCTCCCAACCAGGTATCTCCCACTTACGGGGCACCGCCCCAACTGGGACACGCTCTAAGCTTCCGTCCGGTCTGCCGGTATGTGTGGTAATGTAGGGCGTGTAAGCGTGCGTGCGTGCGTAAGTAAGAGGTAGGACAGGGCAAGGAATGGAAAAGAAAGATCGCACGCGGGGCGTGGCTCGTTTGTTAGGGTACTTTCCGACGTTCGCCTTGATCGGAGAAATCACGGAAAACTACCGATCAGAGTTGCCGGCCTCTAGGATTCTCCTCCACGCAGCGACAGAACTCGACCCTGCTACCTGGAATGTCGAAGATCGTGCCACCGTCGGGACTCGAACCCTAGGATTCTCCTCCCCAAGGACCTCCCGGACAGAGGGACTGCAGAAAAATTGGTGGATGCCCTGAGCCACCTCTCCCTCTATCAACCCCAACAAAGAGAATGAAAGTAATTAATAGTTTAGTTCTGGGAAAAATTATTTTTTTCAGATATGTTTTTAAGATCAATTTTAAATCGGTGGGAAATTATAAAAAGGAAACCACTACTACTAATAATAATAAACAATATTTCAACCCTACAATGTACCACTTTACAAAGCAAAGTATTTTAAATTTGAAAATATAAATGAAATTAAGGAAGTCGACATACCTACATTTAATTTAAACTTGTGGTGCTAAAACAGCATATACGGTACCTTCTCACCGTTAGTAACAGTTTCGTAATATTATTATCCAGCAGTTTCGTTCGAATTTACACATCTCAGTAATTTCTTGTAAAACATATTAAAAATCATAGGACACAAGGTCTGAAAACTAATTATTTTCAAGCAAATATCAACACATATTCGACAATTAAAACTGCGTTATTAAATTGGAATGTAATTGTCACATTCCAATCCGATATTTCCTGAAGACTGCAATTGGAGCATGGGAAATTAGAATTTGGAAAAATACACTGAACTACTCTATTAAAAAAACAACTACCTATTATTTTTTAAAAAATAAAAAATGAGAATTCAATGAAAATAAGATCAGTCCTATTTCTTTGTATTGCTTAATTTGCTAGGGAATGCTAGGAAAAATATTAAATGCAAAAGACGACTTTTTTAAATATAATTGTTCAAAAATATTTCAATATTGCCTTTAAGCTCTTACAAAAATATGATACTCAATTGTTTCAATTTTTCTTTCATATTACATTTAAATCATCTTTTTAAGAGAGAACACCTAATTGGACTAATTTCAATTAAGGTATGCGGATGTTTTGAAAGAAAATACATCCAACTCATTGAGAATAGAAATACATTCCTCACAACACACACAAAATTATGGATTATCAAATTGATTTTAAATAGTTTCTAAAATATTATTTTTAAACACACAACAAAAGCTCAAATATAAAAAATAAATAAAGAATTATGAAATAATATACAAATTCTAAGCACAGCAACCAACTGCAAGGAATCACGTCTTGTATTATGTTCACAAATCACAAGATATTTAGAGCCAGCGGCTATGTTTGAATTAGGAAAAACATACCCATATTTTTGAAAAATTCAACATGACCTTATTAGAACATCTGTTTTTGTTGTAAACATTTCATTAAGAAATACACATATTTATATCCCCAAAATCACTCATTTTTAACAAAGAACAACTGTCCCATAAGCTCTCCATGGGGTTTATGAAGGTAAGGATCCACAATTGCAAGACGACCTCTCAGCCCTAACATTTCCATCTGGACATAATGTAGTTACTGTTATCATTATCATTATTATCATATTAGCATTACCACTTTGACCCAAATGAAATACCCAGAACACATTGTATAGTGGTCTGTGAACCTGAGAGCTTTCCTAAAATATGAGTTAACTTGAACTTCTTTCCACATTTCTGAGATCTAGCTCAAACACAATGGTTCAATGTATCAGATGTATATACTATGAACTTCATAAAACATTCAACAGTCTTAGGTTATAGTATTTTACTACTTGGACTTTTAATACTAATTTTCATCACAATCAGAAAAAATAATGACTTTAGAAAAGTCTCTATATAAGACTTATGTAGAGTAAATAGGAAGTTAATTCAAAGAACATAAAGTACAAGCAGTCAAATGCCTCTGTAAAAACTCTGATTTAAAAATAAAAGACAGAACAGGATCTACATCTTTAGAAACCCCCAGAAATGTTGGTGTGAAATAGGAATGCACTTTATTACCATTATGAACTAAAACAAAACATAAAGAAATGAAAGAAAAAACGTGATAGGAGGTTTAATAATCATTACATATAGACATGGAATAACACTTCATGCATATTCCCAGGTAGTCTTAAAAACTTCAGAAGATGAACTTCATTTTGAAAAATATATCACGATAAAAATAGTAATTAACAGCAAACAGTTGTTTCATGTAAATCTGTACAAGAGAATGATTTGGAAACAAAATCTCAGTACAAGAGAATAATTTGGAAACAAAACTATGTAATTACAACAGAATCAACAGATGTATAAAAAGGCAATAACATTTTTCCACAAAAACAAAAATTAAGAATTCACAACCTAATTGCCACTCCAACACCAATCTTCAGCAGTGAGGCAAAGATACTGAAATAGAAACAAGGAAAGAAGCAGCCCAAATGATAGGACACAGATATGAAATACAAAAGACACCTACAATAAAAATAACAAGAAAAAATTAAAACATCAAAATTACATCAAAAAAAGAAACAAAGAAACAAGCCAAAAGCATCAGTCAAGATGAGGTAAAATATCAACACAAATGGCAAAACCAAATGAAGTGAATGGAACCAATCCACCCACCAAAACTGGCCCTTAAAACAAATCAACATGAACAAAAGAAATAGGTCAAACAAAGAAAAGAGAGGAAGATCAAGAATCCTTTATGATAACCAACAGACTTATGGAATACACGGTAAGACCATTGGAACCTTAAATAGCACATAAAAATGATGATAATGATGATGATGACGATATCTCTACACTTATTGCAGTTCAATCCCCATGGCCCACTTCTTTATAAGCCACAGAAGCACACAACAACTTTTTACTTTCCCGTATATGTACATACACACAGAGTAATGTACATAGTACAGGGAAAGTGATGTAACGCTATGAAAAATCAATTTCGAGATTTCAACAGAAATACACGTTTTGGGTTCTCCAGATACCGAAAAAGTGGTGCTTTCCAAAACATTTGTCTGTCTGTGAGTCTGCAAACACTACTAGCACCTAAATCTTGCGCATGATTTTTTTCAATTTGAAGAAACCCCTGTCCATCTGGCTCGAGTCTAAGCTTTAAGATTTCGAAAAACATTCTTTAAAATTTGGAGGTACTTTACAGGATACCCTCTGGACATTTTCAAAATTTTCTCAAAAACGGCTCCATTTCCTTTTCTTTTTTTTAATATACTTCTTAGTAAGAATAGAGAAATAGACACTTATAACAATGGGATAGGTCCAATTTTCACAGTCAACTCAGAGTTTTCAAAATTTTCAAAAGTATGAATTTTGAGTCTTTTTATCACTTTAAAATCAAAAATTGAGATTTTTCTTTCACGTGAAATTTGTTGTTCATAATTAGTACTTTTATTAAGGCCATGTACATTTTTATAAAAATTTTAGTGGTTTTATGGCAATATTACAAAAAATTTGTGCAGTAGTAAAAAATTACAAAAACAAAATTTTTTCAAAAATGGCTCCAAATTTTTTCTTCAAACTTTTGGTAGGGATAGTGCTAAATGTAGTCTGTAAGATGACATAATAGCAGTTTGCTGTATTCTTTTGTTTTTTCAAAACTTACAAAAGTTAATTTTTTTAACTTGTCTCTCATGTTAATATTTATATTAGCAGTGATTTGTCCACATTATTATATTGATGAGTACATGTACTTTAAATAATATCATATAAATTTTCTCAAAAACTCAATTGTATTTGTGAAAAGTAGCTCAAAAATCCATATTTTCAGAAACGCTCTAAAGCCATTTTCTCAAAAATGATTCCAAATTTTTCCTTCAAACATTTTGAACCGATAATGGTAATTGCAGTCTTTAATATGACGTAAAGTTTCTTCTCATCTCTTTGTTGTTCACATTTCCAGCGATTTGTAACCACTATTGTACTTGTGAATTAATATGACTTGTATTCAAATCATATGGCTTTTATTGAAATTTTTCGAAAACTCAAAATTTGTTTGTGAAAAAAGAGCTTCATTTTCCAATTTACAGTAGCACTTTAATGCCATTTTCCTAGGAAACGGCTCCAAGCTTTTCAAAGAAAATTTGCAATTTAGTACAAGGTTTTACTGTTCTTTAACATTCTTAAAATAATATTTCCGATCTACTTCTTGGAAACCGAAAAATTAAGGGGGGGAAAAAAGGACTTTGGCGGTATCAGAAGGCTTGATGGAAAGTTTGTGCCATTCTGTGGAACCACTATTTTATATCTCACTTGTTACCAATTATTCAGGGATGTTTCCTATTGCATGGCATTAACAATTACCTTTGAAGTTACTCCTATTCTAGCTGTCCAGTCCCCTCCATGGTCACCACCTAGCCTTTTAACAAATGAAGTAGTAATCAAAAACGGTCCATCTTGTATTTCTTGAATGCCAAAATTCTTTCCATTATGTTCAATCCAGCCATAGCGATCCAAATTATCACCTTGTTCACACCAGTGCCTAAAAACAATAAATAGGCAAAATAAAATAAGCTCTCTATTCAGCAGAACACAATGTCCATAAGATTCCTTTAAATTTCAAATTCTGTTAGGAATACTGTCTTGCAAAGAATTGAACACATTCAAGTCTACACAAAAAATAATTATATTTGCCTTTAAAACATTGAACCCATTTATTTCATACATGATAGTCACTATTTTTTAATTCTATAATTTTATGAATATAAAAATAAATAAATGGATTAACAAAATATTTTATACTACTTACAGGGTAAGAGCTTAAAGACAATGACATTATACAGTTTCCCACAATTAGTATCCAACACATTAATATTTCAATTTCAAGTTTCTGATCAATGAATTAACAGTGACAAAAAGCACATAATTAGAGATGGTACATTTTAGCAATTACTAAAAATGTTAAATGTTACTAAATGCTGAGAAAAATTAGTAATCGTGTGTTTGACAGTCAGTGCAGTATATTTCTGGAGTTTCTTAATCTGATAAAATGCGAAATAACATACAAACTGCAAAATAATTGTGAATTGCAATATCATTGCTAAATTACACTTTTTGTTTTCCTTCAGGTTCACTAACTAGGGATGCGACATTTACAACAACACAGCAATATTTGAAGACATCTAATTTTATACTGGCCACAGTGTAGAAGATGAACAATTTTTCAGTCAATATAGATTTATTGTTACTGATGGAATAAATAGGTTTCTTTGTTTTACAAAGACAACATTGAAATATGCTCTCAGTTAATTTTTCACTTAATGACATATATTGATAATAGTTATATGTATACTGATTTCATTGAACAAAATACATAACCTTTTAAAAGAATGTTGTGTTGTTTATAAGTATTTATAAATTGCAAGAAAATCCTTTAGCTCTCCTTTGAATTGTGTTATTCACGAGCCTGTGGATAACAGGAATGTTACTAAGAAATAAAAATTACTTCTTTAAATATTTGCTGAAGTGCATAAATAGCGAAATATTAAATTAGTTTCACTCATTTCCCGATTTTAATGGGAAAGTTTAAAAAGCATCAAAATATTTTTATAGAGACCTCCCTTAATTATAATTTATTAACAAATGCTACAAAAAGCTAAATTAAAATCTTTATAGTGCTATAAAATGCTGTAGCCTTGTTTTCAAAATTTTGTATTTAAAGTCCCGAATTCTATCATCATTACTCATACTTCTTCACTTCTGTAACTGAAGATATTTTGGGTTATTTCAAGTTCTCTCTCCATTTGTTTGCGAAGTAATTTATTTTCTACATTCCCCAAAATACTAAACAAGAGGTGCTTCGACAGCACACATTTTCTTACATTATTTCTAACTTTTGCAATAATCAAAATTTCAGAAAGTTCAACAAAAATGAGACCTGCACTGGATATGTTTTTCTTTTCTTTTAGTCATTTGCTCTATCCACAGAAAAGAATTTAAAGAAAAAAATCAGGATTAGTTTTGGAGAGATTTTTTTACAAATTGCATTAACTTCAAGAAAGACAACAACTACAAAACTTCATGCTTTTTTTTAAAAAAAATTGTACATTACCTTATTTAAAGATTTATTTTTTTTATAACAAATTTCCTTTCAGAAAAAACTTTATTGTCAATATTGTATAGTAATTTGTGCAATTTTCGAAAATACAAATCGCCATAAATGGGATCAGCCACTTCTATTGACCATTGCTACATACAAAGAAAAAAATTACAGGAAAAATTTGGAGCCGATTTTGGGAATATAATCGTTTCAAACTTGGCTATATTTGAAGCAAAATTACGCCAAAAATTGGTTCTCATATTTTCGACATATTGTACATGAAATTATTGTACATTATGAAGATAGAGCAACAGATTTCGTTTAGGGCCAACCTATCAATCTTTAATAATGTTATGGGAAGAAGCCGTGAAACAATGATCTTGGGCAATTTTCGAAAATCCAGATATTTCGACGAAAATGAGGCCTGCGCCATTCTTAACGGACGGACGGGTAGTTCCCAATCAATCGATTTTTTGGTATCAAGGACTCAAAACGTGGATTTTAACCACACAACCGTGTTAGGGGACGTACTTTTCGACATTGAGAAACAAGATCTATCCTTTTTTCATTACCAGAGCCGGATAATACTAACTTTACTGTCGAAAAATCACCGATAAACGATACAGTATTACCTACATCCTTCGTACTAGGTAAGTACGTAGTAAGACGAGAATGTAAAATTTAGCAGTCTTTATTCCAAATGGAAAAGTTTTCTGAAAGTCTACTTAACACTGCAAAAACGCTAGTTTTAATATTGTCAACACACAATAAATTAAGGCGAGGTGCATTATACAGGAAATGCCCCCTACAATGGACCTCCCCCAGAACTTCCAAACGGTTCACGATATCGAAATGAAGTTTACCCTCAACGATGCGGAATCATGAGTTAAGTAATAATCCGCACAGATATTGTTTAAAATATTTTTGGTTTTCTTGAAATTTAATCTTTGGTTTTTTAAAATAAAGAACCGTGTATTTTTTTACTAGCATACAAAGAGGAAGGCAATGATGTAACACATAGTAATGCTTTGATAGAATTTTTGGTATAAAATCATGATTTCTTACAAGTGATTTTAAATTAAACATGCAATATTTTGTGTAGCAGCAGTTGTATTGTCGCCTTTGAGGGAAATGTCCTTCGCGGTGTTGGGAAGAGGCCGCGAAAGACATTCCCCCCAAAAGCAACAGTTGCAAGGGCTGCTACGGGAAATATTGCACGTTTAATTTAAAATCACTTGTCAGAAAGTATGGTTTTATACTCAAAATACTACCAGAACATTAACATGTCTTACATCATAGCAGGGGTGACCAGAAGGGAAGCAGCTGGGGCAATTTGTCCCAAACCTCGATTTTTTCTTCATTCAAAAGTATTAAAAATGTATTTATATCTAATCTAAATTTAAGACTATAAGTTATTTCTGATGCATGGAGGAATGAATTCTGTTTATGAACTGAGGGATGAGGGACTTTTTTGGTTGAAATGAGGGGCCCTAGTTTTCTCTCGGCGACCCTGCATCTTTGCATTCCACTTTTTATGATCTATCTTTCGCTAGAGAGAAAAATATATTGTTCCATTTAAAAAATAAAAGATACACAAATTTCTAGAAAACTAAAAATATATTTCAAACAATATCTTTAAAGCATATTACTTGCCCCATGATTCAGTATCGTGGAGCGAAAACTGCACTTCAATATTATTAACCATTTAGAAGACATAGGAGTGGCCCGTGGTTCAAGAATTCCCAGTATATTTTAGCAATAATTCAAATATAGAAAATTATAATAATTGTAATGGAATGATATGAAGAAAAAAAAAAAAAAAAAGAGTTGCAACCATGTCATAATACATCAAGAAAAATGTCAAGATGTTTCTCATGATGTCATTGAAAATCACAAATTGAATGTTTCCACAAAAATTTACTCCATTTTCATTCTCAATTTATCCATCAGATTAATAATATTTGTAAACAAATAGCGAATACAGAATACTTTTGCTGAAAAATTCAGAGAATTTAATATAATCTTTCTTCTCTTTTCTTTTGATACTCTTGATGGGTCTGGTGTTCAAATATTGGCAAGATATATTTCCATAAAAATTAAAATTTGGGAACATAATGTAATGAAATAATAATTCCCTAATGAAATGGTCTGTATTTTTAACTTAAATTAAAGTTTTCACCAATAACTATTCATAGATCAAGTGAGATTACACCACAGAACATACAGTTCAAAACTGAACAACTGGAACTTTTATATAATCACACAAACAAATTTTAAAGCATGCCCAAAACCAGCCCTGATACTTTTAAACACAGCATATTTGTTTGTATCCATCACCAGGTAAAGACTAAATAATAAACATATGTCTCATAGATTAATGGAAGAAAGGCTTTTTTTACTGAACAGAATTGAAGATTTCTTAATCTTGATCAATGTTAGTCGTTCTCATAACCCAAGTGATACCTTCTTTCTCTGCTAATGGGTGAAAAGAGTGTAGCAAAAGTTGCCATGGAACATAAGGCATAAATTCAAAATTCTTTAATTTCTTTACACATTTATTGTACAATTTATGTACATAGTGTCAAAACAAATTAATCTTTTCCCTATTGTATGTTTTCTCATCATTACTTATACACTGGGAGGAGACACTTTTTTCTCCTTTCTATGCAATAATTATCATCATCATCTACAACACGATGACAGAACTGAAGCCTGTTCATGTTTAACAGTAGACTGAAAAGAATATTATTAATCTTCCTGATAGAATATTATTAAGTGTTCTTGCATAATTTCTTTCTTGGCCTTCCTTGATCTCTTAGCCCAAGTTTGTATTTAAAGTACCCTTTGAAATATTCCTTCTTTTGTTATTTTAATACATACCAATCATTTTTTCTGATTCTTTTCATTTTCTTTTATATTTGTTGATTTGGATCTTTTCCTCAGGTCTTTGATTCTCCAATGATTCAATCTTGTACAGCCAAGATGTCTAAGCTACCACATCTCAGCTGCTTCTGGTCATTGGTAACAGTTTCTGAATGTCATAATTGCATTGGCTCGGCAGTCATATTGTAGATTTTTAAGTGGTTTCCTGTGTCACCTCTCCTACAAAATCTCTATCGATTATTTTATTTATTCCACTGTTTTTAAAATGTTTGTGCTCCAGGACTTGAATAGTTTGTCCACTGTAGTTGCCTAAATATTGAAATGTTGATACCTGTTCTAATATTAATTATCCCTCAATGAAAATCTTCTCACCTCCGCTTGTTTCCCCTGAAGGCCATTGTTTGTTTTCGTCTAGAGATTTCGAAACTGTGTTGCTGTTGTTGTTGTTGGTGGTGTGTATGTGTTGTTGTTTTTTTGAGGTTGTTTTTTTAATTCAATGGCTGCACTTTGCAATTTATTTACTGACTTTCTCTGATTCTTGTTTCTCTCTCTTACTTTTATATTTTCTTGTCTGTAACTAATGCGATTAGACAAAACTTTTTGTCTTTCTCGCAACGATTTACTTATTCATTTCCAAAATCAGATATAATATTAAATTAACAAATATATAATGTAGCTTATCACATATTATCTTTCTATGATATAAGGTTTATTCACCATAAAAATGCAAAAAAGAGATGTAAGACATTTCACGAAGCTTTGTTCATTTTTTTTCATAACAACTGGCAACAAATGAAAACATTAATTCTAAAAACCTTTTTTTTTTTTTTTTTTTTTTTTTTTTTTTTTTTTTTTTTTTAACTACTTCTTGTTTGTATTGTATTCTTCAAGAAACAGATGTCTACTGTTGCAACAAATGGCACAGATACTTATCTAAACGTATCAAAGGAATCTATGATTGTCAGAAGTATTCAATAATATAAACAAACATGTCTGTAGAATTTTGTGTAATAGCCCCATTGCTCTTTGTCCACAACACTTGATTTTGTCTTGACCACCCCAACTACAACCCTTCATTTCGTGTTCATTCTATTCCAAAAACGTAGAAACAAAGTCAGTAATCCTTGAAGGGACCTCTCAAAAACTCAGAACTGTAAACCTCCTATTTGACACAAAAGATTTATGAGGCCAAATTGCATATTTCATTTCTTCAACCAACTGAAACCCTTGTACAAAATTGTTGAGGGTATACGTATTTTTAATTAATATATAATGTATATTCAAAGATATGAACATTAAATTCAATTATAAGGAGCTAAAGTTTTTTGTTAATATCAGTTATTTAAGAAAATTACTCCACAACCACAGTATCCACTAGTATTGATTATGCTGTGAGCATGAGAAAGAATCATGTGATAAGATACTTGTCTGCCCAATAGATACTGCACCCTAGGCACAGTTGCCAATATTGTGCTAGGGCAAAATGCCTTGCAGAAAGTCACAGTATGATGGACAAAACATAGACAACTGTACCTAGGGTGCGGTGACTCCTAGACAGCTAAGTATCTATTGATTCCAGCAGCGGAAGCCTACACTTTCAAATCATGATTACCAGAAACTTGTGTGAAGTGGATAGTGTAAAACTAACAAGAAGATTGTTATAAAATGATGAATAAACAATGTCTTAGATCCCAAGTCTTATCTTGAAATACAGTATGCAATATCTCACAAATTATACTGCTTAACATCATGAATATCTTTTTATTGGAAAACGCAGTTAATCATAAACATGGTAAAATACACATTTCAAACTAACACTCTTTTGTCAAGACCTAGTATGTTTGGGAAGAAATGACAGAAAGTATGAATGATTTTGTCTTGAGTGCATGCGATGTTGTACACGTTGGCTTCCGCGGGTCGAGTTCATGACTTCTTGGCTGTCTGGGTGATGCGACGTTGTTGGCTGAGAGGCAGTCACTACCCTGAAAAAACCTGCAGTATGACAGGCAAAACATTCGCCTCTCAGTAAATGAAACGGCGTTACCCAGACAGCCAAGACGTCATGCCTGCGGTGTTATCTTTGTATCTCGCGACAGTACGAAGAAATGATTTAATTTTAACTCGTAAACCATTTTCTTACAAGCAAAAACTCTTTATTTATATTATCAATTCTAACTACCTAATAATAATCTGCCTTTACAATAGCAATAAGGCATATCTTCTTTTAGTACTGTTATGATTCTGGGTTGAAAATGGCTTCGTAATTGCATCAGCTTTAAGAAGGTTGATTACTTCTTCTGTCAAAAAAGAATGATGATGATGATGATGATAGTGTAGGTGAAAGTGATTGGGATTATGATAGTGGATTTACATATGTTTATGATTATCATGGAAGAAATTGCTCGACAACAGAAATTCAGTCAACAAGTACATACATGAATTACAATTAAGGTGATAAAGATGAAAAATAATTTTCTAAAAGATAAAACACTTCTCAACAGAACACAAATTCAATACCTGATCCCTCCACCATCAGCTCCTATGTGTCTTGTAAAATACCACATCAGGCCAGAAACTAACGAGTATGGATCTCTCGTCTTCAAACCAAAATATACTCCCGGCCGGTAACTTCCCCAATATACATCAGGTGCAGCAAGTCCTGTTTTCACCACCATCTACAGGCAATCAGCAAGTATGAATTCAACAAACACATCAAGTCAGAAAAATAGTCTTTGAACATTTTTTAAAGTTACCTTTTGATCATCAAAGGGAGTATTTACACGTGTTTCTAAATATCCCATGTACCCAATGCACCCTGCAAAGGCTAAACAAATAATCATAACACCTCTTCGCCAGTATGATACTTTGTTATTTTTCTTTTCTGTATGATGTGTTATTTTCTTGGCATATTTATGGTGAGAGTGATCTACCGAGAGGGGCTTTCTTTGGCGAGCCATGATGATAAAATTCACAATAATTGATAATTTACTATTAGCAGTTAATTTTGTTTTGTCCCTTCCTTGGACTTCTTTGATGCTCCCAAAACGCAAATAAAAGGTTAATACATTAACAACAAAGCATCAGCTAGAAGATGCCAAACAAACAGCCGCTTAGAGTAACAAAGTTTTCCACATTTTCACAGCTTTATTTCCACCGCATATCGAGCTGGAAACGCAATGATTTTTAAATGATGATGATCATGACGTCTCGGCATTACCGGTGCGTAATGTCACAGTACTCTCCAATTTCCTGCAAGCAAAATAATTAACATTACACCGTTGGGCCCATTTTGGTGACCACTTGCGCTTGTATTTGATTTTGTTCACATTATCTACATCAACACACAGTTAAGGTTATCAAAATTATCACAGATTTATCGAATTGAAACAAGTGAACATGGAAACACGTGTATTCCCAGTGAGTTCCTGCACCACCTCATGTCAACAATTTTCTTCGAACAAACCTCCCCATAGTTTTCTATTTAAGACCACGTATTGAAATACAAATGGACGTAATCATATTTAAATCAACTGATAAAATTTCTTTCGTGCAGAATTAATCAAAAGTTAGATTTTTAATCACTACTACAAATATCTTTTGAATAACTTTTTTTATAAGTTGGCTACTATGTAACAATTTCTTATTGGCTGATGCGACCGGCTTGTGTCACGAAAAATGCCTTTCAAACACCGAAACACACGCGTCATATAAACATACTAGATGGATAAATTTTCAATGTATAATATTTTACATTCTTACACATTGTAAGGAGAAAAATTATTGTAATCGTTCATCGGAAAACTGCATTTTTTCGACAGAAAATCTCTTATTGCTTTATTGTTCTGAGAAAGTGGATAAATCTTTTTCATGCAAATAGTTAATTATTCAATATATTAAATTAATGCTTGCTCTAATATGTTGTGCAGTCCGAATCCACGTTTTGTGAGCACTTGGTACCGAAAAATCGGTTGACACCTAAACGACTGTGGTTATCGCTAGTACCTAAACCGTTCAACCCATCTATTGAAATGAACTCGGGGTCATTAGAGTTTGGTACATACATTTTTATTTTTACAGGCCTCATTTTCGTTCAAATCCAAGTTTTTATTTTACTTTTAAAATCTGATCTTCAAAGGGAGATATAGAAATAAGGTCATGTATTTTTATTTTTATCATTATTATTATCATTATTATTATTATTATTATTATTATTATTATTATTATTATTATTATTATTATTATTATTATTAGAGTTTGGGGATAATTTTGCGTGAAATATAAGCAATTTATAATTTTCCGTATACGTCGTTCATGCGAAGTAATATATATAGTATATTACGGATGGTACGGAAAATCGATTTCAACAGAAATATACGTTTTGGGGTCCCCTGATACCAAAAAAAGTGTTGTTTTTTTCAAAACGTCCCTCCGTTTGTCCGTCCACTGGTATCTGTGAACACTACTAGCACTTAAACTCCGCGTAGGACTTCTACCAAATTGAAGAAACCGAGTCAATCTAGCTCGAGTCGAATCTTTGAGATTTTGAAAAAAAATTCTTTAAAATTTGGGGGGTACTTAACATGAAGACCTCCGAACATTTTCAAAATGTTCTCAAAACGGCTCCAAATTTTTGTTTAAATTTCTTGTAAGAATAAAGTAAGACTTATAGGGGTGGCATACTCTTATAGCTCCGATTTTTACAGTTAAGTCTGAATTTTCGAAAATTTCAAAAGTGATATTTTTCGGTGTCTTCCTACAACTACAAAATTGAAGATATAGATTTTTCCTTCGATTAAAATTTGTTCTCCATAGTAAGTTTCATTAAGGTCATGTACATTTTTTTGAAAACTTCAGTAGTTTTTGCGCAATATGACGTGCAACATGTGCAATTTTAAAAAATTTCAAAACGAGATTTTCTCAAAAACAGCCCTAATTTTTTTCTTTAAACTTTTTGTAGGGATAGTGCTAAACTCCATAAATTTGCATAAACGTCATTAGCTCTATTTTATTTTTTCAAAAATTTATTTTTTTGGTTTGTCTCTCATGCCGTCTCTCTACCGTTTTCTGTGAAAACTATCTCAAAACTCATTTTCAGAAACGCTCAAATGCCATTTTCTCAAAAATTGCTTCAAATTTTGTCTTCAAATATTTCGAACAGATAGTCGTAATTGCACTCTTAATTTTTGACGTAAAGTTAATTTCGGTGTATTTTTTGTTTTTTCAAAAATTACACAAATGTAATTTTTTTTAAAGATCTCTCACGCTGTTGATATGCACATTTCCAACCATTTGTAAACACTATTGTATATGTGAGTTGAAGCACTTAAAATTACTTCAAATTAAGTTTTTCGAAAAATCGAAAATTTTCTGAGAAAAAACTTTATTTTTCGTATTTAAAAACGCCAGTTTTTTAAAAACGGCTCCCAATTTTTCAGACTTTTCCTACAAATAGTGCTATTAGAACTGTTTAAGATGACATAGAATTAATTTTGTATTCTTTTGTTGTTGTTTTTTTTTCAAAAAATACACAAATGTAGTTTTTTAGGATCTCTCATGCCTTTAATAGGCACATTTACAGCAATTTGTAAACACTATTGCATTTGTAACTGGGGGTTCTTGAAATGACGTCATATGAAGTTTTTGGAAAACTCAATAGTTTTGAAAAGAATGTGAAAAGAAGTTCACATTTCAAATTTACAGTATCGCCTATATGACATTTTCTTAATTTTTTCAAAGAAAATTGCGATTTATGACCATGTTTTATTGTTCTTTAATATTCTTTAAAAAAAATCCGTTTTACTATTAGGAAGCCAAAAAATTAGGAAAATGTCAAAAAATGTACGTTGAGCGGCAATAGATGGCAGCTGGCAAGAGTATGTGGCAAGACCAATTAGCTGGCCGAGACCAATGGAAATAGAATACAAATACAGGAAAGTCCGTGCCATTCCGTGGCACCACTAGTTTAAACTATTTTTTTTTTTTCCTCATGAACGGCTCCTGGTGTTTTCTTTAAATTTTCTCCTCCTATAGGATGATAAAAAACTGGCGCTGCTCTCATTTTCGGCGAACTCTGTACTTTCGAACATTACAAAATTTATATATTAAAAAAACAAAATTGAAGATTAATATATCTACTTCAAACAAAATCCGTTCTAAAAAATAATGTTTTTAGCAAAAATTATGTACAATGTTTTTAAAAAATTCAGTAGATTTCCTAAAATTGTACATGAAATTAAAGGGGGAGAGCAATTCATAAAAAAATCTAAAATACCACTCCAAATTTTTTCTTCAAATTTGATTCGCTTCACCTAGGGAGTACATGACCTTGACGTTGGGGGTGGAGCTTGAGTATTCCCGTGATCCGGAGAGCTATGCCGGCGGTAGCGTAGCTATATACTGTTAGGGCCTCCCTTGCCGGACTGGTCGAAGGGGAGGGGTCAGACGAAGAAGTACTCCAGAAGAGGACGGGGGCGCAAGAAGAGAACATCCGGTACAGTGCGCAGAAGAGGATCTCGGAACGACGAAGAGTCAGGCAGAAATCCTAGCCTATATTTCTACCGAGGGATGAAACGTACGGGTATGATCTCGCCAACAGAACAAGAAGATTCCAAAAGAGATCTGGGCAGGAGGAGCTCAAAAGCTCGGTGAAGCCATCCTCCTAGGGGAGTGAACCCTAAAAAATCCTGATCATCCTAGTAGGGGGTTGGGACGATGGGCCAGCTCCTTGTCGTCCATGTAAAAACTAAGTGCTAAAAGGCCTAATAATGAGGAAACGGACGGTAACCGGAGACGAACTAGGCAAAGGAGATGGATAATGAATATTGGAACATGGAATACTCAACGTTTGGGAAATAAGATAAGGAGGTAATTAAGGAACTTCAAGATTTAAATATGGTTATTGCAAGTTTAAGTGAGACAAAGAAAAAGAGCTCGGGTATAGAAGAGATTGGATCCTATCTTTATATTTGGAGCGGAGTACCAAAAGATGAGAGGGGTAGTAAAGGGATTTCCATAGTCATAAACAATAAATTCAGAAACCATATTAAAGGTTGAGAAGCCATAGACGAGAGGCTGATTAAAGCAAATTTGGAAAGTTTTAGATACAAAATGACGATTTTTGGAGTGCATGCGCCGAATGAAAATACTAGTATTTTAGAAGAATTTTACTCAAAAATAGACTGTGTAATCAGTGAATGTGGACTAAATTGAGAACTTATCTTATTGGGCGATTTTAATGCTAGAATGGGAAAATCAGAGAGCTCAAAAGTCATTGGGCAACATGGAGAAGAGGTGGAAAATTCAAACGAAAAAAGATTGATTCAACTATGTAAACATCATGAAATTATAATTAGAAATGGCCACTTTCAGCATAAAGATAAGCATATGTTCACTTGGGAAGGTAAGGTGAGAGGAATATCAGTGATCGATTACGTATTCACTAGACATTATTTAACGGGTAAAGTAATAGACGTCAGGGCACACAGAGGCTCAGAATGTAAATTTATTGTTATCATATCATTACCTAGTGAAGGCCAAAATTATGTTTTCACTCATTAAACAAAAAGAAACGGAGATCAGATAACGAAAGGAAGACAAAAATGAAAATAGCGAAGGTAAGAAATATAATATAGCGGGTCTATCACAACCAACTATAAGATATTTATTTCAAGACAGATTGTATATTTTACTGAATGAAAACTTAGTTGGATCAAATGAGACAAATGGGACACCTTAAAGATTGTCTACATCAAGCGGCTAAAGAAGCGCTTGGTAAAATACCTTTAAATACGAAAAGGAGAAGGAAAAGCTATTGGATTACTCAAGACCTGGAGTGGGTAACAGAGGAGAAGAATGAAAAAATGGTTGAGTACCAAGAAATAAGAAAATAGAGAGGAATATAAAATCCAACGAAATAGAGTTAGAAACGTCATAAGAAAAGAAAACCAACAATCATGGGAGCGTAAATGTTAAGTAGAAATGTACATAGGTGGAACAAAAACAAGTGAGATTTAGAAGTTCATAAAATAGGTAAAATCTCCCCAAATGGAAAAAGTCCGGATAGAAAGTATATCTGTAAGCAAATGGGAAGATTACTTTAGGAAATTATTAAATGAAGGAAGATCGGACTTACTTGGAACTACAGAAAGGGAAAAGATATCTCTGGCAAGAGAAATTACAGTAACCGATGTGAGAGTTAAGAGATGTATCAAAGAAATGAAAGGCGGTGAAGCTCCGGGTCCAGGAGAAAT